GGTTAACATTGTTTCATTATTAGGTCACTGATCTATTAGAGAACATACTCGTTTAAAGTCGTGCAATGTTCCGCTCTGCCCACCCGTTCAGTGCTCCTGCCGGGGAGCAGGGTCAGGGCACGGGGGGGAGGGGGGGGGCTTGCCCTGCTCCGCCCACCCAGCTTTCCACGCAGCGAGTGGGCAAGCCCCCAACCCTACGCCCCAGCTGGAACACTGGGCGGAGCAAGGCAAGCCCCACGCCCCGACCCTCCTATGCCCCTGCATCAACCAAGCTTCACAATCATTACTGGGGGAGTACAGTATTAAATTGTTTGTTTAAAATTTATATACATATACAGTATAAGTTTTAATGTCTTGTCTGGCTAAAAAAATTTACTGGAACCTAACCCCCACTATTTACATTAATTCTTATGGGGAAATTGGATTCGCTTAACATCATTTCACTTAAAGTAGCATTTTTCAGGAACATAACTACAATGTTCAGCGAGGAGTTACTGTATTCTAAAAGTGCATGCATCATGCACCTTTCCTGAGCCCACACTGAGGTGAGTGAAGCATCCCTGGAGATCCACCAACACTCGCATAACCATAGAAATGTAGCGCTTTCTGTTAATTTACTCTGTGGCAAAGTGGTCTGCTGCCAAAATAGGGATATGCGTGCCATCTCTCTCTCCACCACAGTTTGGGAACCCCATTGCTGCAAATCCATCCACTATGTTCTGCACATTGCTGAGAGGTCACAGTCCGACATAGTGGGAAGCGATTAATAGTCCTGCATGCTTGCATGACAGTGGTCCCAATGGTGGATTTCCTGACTCCAAAATGATTCCTGACTGATCGGTAGCAATCTGGTGTTGCAATTTTTCACAGTGCAATAGCCACTTGCTTCTCCGCTGTCGGTATGGCTTTCATTTTGGTCTCTCTGCACTGGAAGGCTTAGGTGAGCTTGGCACACAGATTCAGGAATATGACCTTGTATATCTGAAAGTTCTGCAGCCATTGCTCATTATCCCAAACTTGCATTATGATGCGATGCCCCCAGTCAGTATTGGTTTCTCAGACCCAGAACCAGAGTTCCATCGTCTGCAGCTGCTCCATGAACACCACCAACAACTTGGAATTGTTTCTTGCTATGACCCATAGCAACCTGTTCTCCAAGGAATCATCATGTTCCCGTGTCTTTACTTGTGGCTCTTTAAATACTGTAGGATTGTGTGTCCTGTGCTTGCAATGCTCATGACAAGAGCGCAGAGCATTGCAGGCTCCATGCTTCTGTCAGAGATGGTGGACAGCGAGGAGGACCACATGAGTTTATGGAATACAGACGACGTTATGGGATGGAAACAGTTGCAAACTAGGAAGTTGACCCCATACTCCGAGTCACTCCTGCACGACTCATTTCAGTTGTGTCATGCATGGCCAAATTTCTCAAAAGACAGTATGCTGGATGGTGGTTAGTTGCACAGTGGGATACCTACCCATGTTACACCACACTCTGCATCAATACAAGTGCTCCTGGTGAGTACGCACATTGCCAACACAAGGAGCAAAGTATGCATGCACACAAGCAATATACTAACTGCGGCAGCTGTATGCCAACGTAACTTGAGTTAACATAAATTTGTAGTGTAGACATGGCCTGACTCTGAAGGTCTCCTTTGGGAATTACATTCCTCTCCCCTCTCTAAACTGTTGGATTAATCCTGTGGAATTAAGATAAGTGAGCTAAGGCCACTTGATTTCTGGATGAGAGCAACCACACAGGGATGTAATGAACTTTAATTTCATACCTTTAGTTAATTTGTCTTAACTTTCCAGCATCTCTAGTAAAAGAAGCAGTTAGAGGCAAAAAGCCATCCTTAAAAAGTGAAAGTTGAATCCTATTGAGGAAAGTAGAAAGGAGCATAAACTCCTGCAAGTAAAGTGTAAAAATATAATTAGGAAGGCCAAAAAAGAATTTGAAGAACCGTTAGGCAAAGACTCAAAAAGTAACAGCAAAAAATTTGAAGTACATCAGAAGCAGGAAGCCTGCTAAACAACCAAGGTGACCACTGGATGATTGAAATGCTAAAGGAACACTCAAGGAAGAGAAGGTCTCAGCAGAGAAACTAAACAAATATTCTGCATCAGTCTTCATGGCTTTTGTAAAGGGAAATCATGCCTCACCAATCTAGTAGAATTCTTTGTGGGGGTCAACAAGCATGTGAACAAGGGTGATCCAGTGGATATAGTGTACTTAGATTTTCAGAAAGCCTTTGACAAGGTCCCTCACCAAAGGCTCTTAAGCAAACTAAGAGGGAAGGTCCTTTCATGGACCAGTAGCTGGTTAAAAGACAGGAAATAAAGGGTAGGAATAAATGGTCAGTTTTCAGAAATTAAGACAGGTAAATAGTGGTGTCCCTCAGGAGTCTGTACTGGGACCAGTACTGTTCCACATATTCATAAATCATCTGGAAAAAGAGATAAATAGTGAGATGGCAAAATTTGCAGATGATACAAAACTACACAATATAGTTAAGTCCCAGGCAGACTGTGAAGCGTTACAAAGGGAACTCATAAAACTGGGTGACTGGGCAACAAAGTGGCAGATGAAATTCAATGTTGATAAATGCAAAAGTAATGCACATTGGAAAACATAACCCCAACAATACATATAAAATGATGGGGTCTAAATTAGCTGTTACCACTCAAGCAAGTGATTTTGGCATCATTGTGGATAGTTCTCTGAAAAGATCCACTCAATGTGCAGCAGCAGTCAAAAAAGGTAACAGAATGTTGGGAATCATTAGGAAAGGGATAGATAATAAGACAGAAAATATATTGCCTTTATATAAATCCATGGTATGCCCACATCTTGAATACTGCATGAAGATCTGGTTGCCCCCATTTCAAAAAAGATAATTTGAATTGGAAAAGGTACAGAGAGGGCATAAAAAATTATTAGCTTTCATATGAGAAGAGATTAATAAGACTGGGACTTTTCAGCTTGGAAAAGACAAAGGGGGGATATGATAGAGGTCTATAAAATCAAGACTGATGTGGAGAAAGTAAATAAGGAAGTATTATTTACTCCTTCTTAGAACACAAGACTGAGGGGTCACCAAATGAAATTAATAGGCAGCAGGTTTAAAACAAAAGGAAATATTTCTTCACACAATGCACAGTCAACCTGGGGAACTCTTTGCCAGAGGATGTTGTCAAGGCCAAGAATATAACAGGGTTCAAAAAAGAACTAGGTAAGTTAATGGAGGATAGGTCCATCAATGGGTATTAGCCAGGAAGGGAAGGGATGCAAAACCATGCTCTGAAGTGTCCCTAGCCTCTGTTTGCCAGAAGCTGGGAATGGGCAACAGGCGATGGATGACTTGATGATTATCTGTTCTGTTAATTCCCTCTGAAGCACCTGGCATTGGCCACTGTTGGAAGACAGGATACTGGGCTAAGTAGACCATTGGTCTGACCCAATGTAGCCGTTCTGATGTTCTCTGCTTATCCAGGATATCAGCTAAGAGGCCTCCTTCCTAAGTTCAGGCTGAGTACTGATACCTAGGCCCTTAAACATATACTCAACCATACAGATGTGAGCTTTAATCACCGCTTTAATCAGCTGATGATCTGGCCCTTGGAGAATACCTAAAGGAAGGTGAGGTAGGATGTGGTAGAAAGCATTTATTGTCATGAATTTGGAACAACCTCATTATGCATAAGTGTTGAAGCCATGTAAAGTTATGCTAGATGACTGATCACATGGGATGCACTGTCTACTCTCTATGTAAAGGAACAAAGCTGAATAGTCTGATCAGATTATGTGTCTCAATATAGAGAGACTTCACCTTTTCCAAATGTGGCAAAAGTTTCACATATTTCTCAGCATCGTGACATATATCATCAAGGCCCCACAAATCAAAAGAATATCATCAAACAGGAGATTTTGAATGTCAAGTTATTCAATGCATGCATCATAAAATAACTGCACTGAATTATAAAATTTATCTGTCTGTATGTCTCACACTAGACGGTTGCACTGGAAATGTAAAAAGCTATTTTTCACATGTAGTCTCTGTATTAAATACCCGCAATCATTCCTCTGCCCTCACTCAAAGGATCTCTGGGTTTTTTTCCCTATATCCAGCTTGACTGAAATACTGCCAGTTGGTTGTGTAAGCTCAGTACGTGGAACACATGCCAAGAATTGCTGGCAGTCCATTCCTGACAAAAAGAATGAGTTTAAGACCTTACAGAGATTTTCAGTTGTGTGTGTGGGATTCTTTCACAGTAATTGCATTGTGCAATATTCTAGGAATATTTGCTAGTGAATCTCAGATTTCAATCTCTCCATTCAAATATGAAAGAGGGGCCATGGTGAAAAGGCAAGAGTAAGAATTGGCAGCCCAACAAGAGAAAGTTCAGTCTGACCAGATATAAAACTAGGGCCCATGGGAATGCACAAGGGGTGGGGGGACAAGCAGGGGCACAGACACCTCCAATAATTGGAGGGGGCACAGAGCTCCTCCGGCCCTGGGGCATGCATAGAACATGCCCCTCCAAAAGCCATCACATTTTTATTCCTGCGCACGCCCCAGCTGGGGCCCGGAAGTGGACGGAGGAAGAAGTTCAGAACTAGCAGCCCAAGAGGAGGAACATCAAGGGTGTATTGCCCACCCAATCTTGAATTTGATTTTTATGTGAAAATTTTAACACTAGAAATACATCACAAAAATCTGATGCAAACTAACTTCTTTGGAGGACACAGGTAATTCCCATGGACAAATCAGTATAGCTCCATTCCTTAATGCCCAACTGAGGACCTGGCCCTAAAAGTTGCTGTTCTGCATCCTACCAGATCAGCTTTTGTTTAGTGAACTGCTGATGGGAGATAAGTGTTTCTTAAACATAGTTTACCTGAATGAAAAAGTTGTGGTAATGGAAAAGGCTTCAGGCTCACTTACCTTTGCTGTGTTTTTGTAATGTTTGTTTTCTTTTCTTCTCCATTTTAGAAAAGAAAGTTGTGGTATTAACAGAAAATGCCAAGTAAGAAAAGTAAATGTTTTTCTGGCCCCAAAAATAATTCAACCAAAGAGCAGAATGTAGAAAGTAATGGAGTTACTGGCCTCACTTACGTAAGTAACAATTTATTGTATTAAACTACATTACAGCCATGTATAGTGGCCCAAATTCTATTCACTCACCCAGTCTGAAGGCACTACAAAAGGAACTTTAAGTGCCACTTTACACTGGCAGGAGCATTTCTCGTCTACGTAGATCATATGAAGATTTTCTTATCTGCAAAGTAAATATGGTATATTAATGGTCTAAAATACTTCCAGTTTATGATTTTTAAGAAAGGTCACAGCTGGGGGAGGAAGACAATCTTAGCGCCTAATCTTGCATCCCACACTCAGGCAAAGCTCCCATTGTCTTGGTAAGGAATACAGGATGGGCCCATTTAAAAAGTGCTTAATATTGTACCATGAAACAGCATTTGCACAGCTGATCCTACAGTTTACAACTAAAGACCGCTTCTTTTCTTTATGACTGGCTACTAAAAAGACACCAAAGGGGCAGGATTTGTTCCCTGTCCCCACCCCAGACAAGGACTGAATCCCCATGCTGTCAAAACTCACAGGGGCTAAAAAAGAAATATATCTTTCTGCTTTTTCTGTGTGTCGGCTCTGAAAGAGGATTCAATATATGTGTGGCTAGCTCCAGCACTACGTTCCCCAAGAGGATCCTGCACGGGAGGGGAGCCTTGTTGCTGAGCTACAAAGAGGGTCTGTAGTGGAGTTAATTTGCTCTTTATGCATAAAAAAGTTAAGCATTCTCGATGGACGCCTTCTAGCCTTTGCTTCAGGCAGAATGTTTGGGGTGATGTTTCCTTAACAGAATGGGGGAAGGAATGTTGGTGCCAGAAGGTTCCCTGCAGGTTGCAAGCGGCAGTTGGACTGAGCAGTTGGAGAGCGAGAGGTCTGTGTAATAGTAATGACAGGCAGGACTTCCCTCAATGTGGAGAGAAACAGATGATGATGAAAAGGAGTTGAAAGAGAAAGAGTACCAGAAAAAATATAAAGAAGAGATTCAAGACACAAAATTAGAAGGGAAGGAACAAGAAAAAGGCCAAGGAAACAGATAAGTGCCTTGTGTTGCACCTGCTAGGGATGTCCAACTTGGCCCTAATTTTCTGAGCACTTACATTTTCCACTGACATCAGCTGGAGTTGTGGGTGCTCAGCGCTTGAGGCCTCTGGTGACTAAAGGGATCAAGAACTCATCAATAACTGTAGTGCTAGCCTGTAAAGGAAAGTGTTGCAAGGCTAGGGGGTAGCTAGCTGGAGGGAATGGGTAGCTTGTTGCATAGGACATACGCATCTTTTGTTAGTTTTACTTTAAAATATTCCCATTTAACAACTCCCATTTAAAAAATGTTTCCCCTTACAGAGGAGGCTTCTGCTCTTGCTAGTTTACATGTCACCTGAGAGCAGGCTAGGAAAAAGACTGGGGCTACAGAATAAAGAGGGAATAAAAAGCAGCCACTAGTGTTTCACCTACTCTGATTCATAGATTCCAACAGTAAAGAGCCTAAAGTCAAGGCAGGAAGCGGAGCCTGGCTAGGGATGAGCAGTCTTGACACCAGGTTCCCAAAGGACATCCTTTGTGCCCCTAGTATAAGGCTCCCTGTAAAAGATATTATGAAATAGGAGGTAGAGCAAAGAGGAGACAACCTGTGTAACAGTAATAATAATCATCATCATTTTATTATACTCCATTAAATTATCATGATTGCTTATGACCCCAAGGAGCTATTCCAACAGCCAGGAATTGCTGTGGTCATGCACCTTTTCTCCTGGTTACACCTCTCCTCTGGCCACAGGGAGGTGGGAGCTACTACAATGACTAAGTGACACCCTAGGATACCCCCTATGCAGGAGGAGTCTTCCAGTAGCTGGCTCAGGGCAGTGTCACATCAGTGGCACAGCATACAGTAGCATCAGTGTAGGATTGGATCTGGCTTTATATATTCCCTTAGTGAATCCGCATTTAACTAATGCTTTTTAACCCAAACCTAATCAGGTTTTCAAAATCCTTCAGTATAGTTGTTGCTTTTCTTTGGATACTCTCCATTTTATTAATATCCTTGTGGTAATTCAGATGCAGCTTCATTAGTGCTGTATCTGCCTTGTCTCTCATGAAATACCTCCTCTGATACAGCCTGTGCTTTCTCTGCAACTGTATTTCACTGTAGAGTAACATTCAATTTACTGGCTATTATTTTGCCCAAATCTGTGTCTGAAGTATTGCTGTCTAAGTAACATTCTTCCATATTAATTATTGCACAGACATTTTATTCTTAGGTATAAAAAAAGTGGCCAAATCCCAAGAGGTGTTGCTCCCTTGCTAAACACCTGCAATTCCCACTGTGGTCCACAGTACTTGCAGATAGTTAGCATGTGCTCAGCACTTATCAGGATGTTCACCTTAGCATTTATCTTTACTGAACCAAATCTATTAAAGTTACTGAAGTAGACAAAGTTTTAGCTCAAGTTATATATTTGCTTTGTCTTACATTGTTTGCCTCTCCTCCTCATGTTGTATCATCCCATGATTAGGGGTTTGGAACGAGTCCCATATGAGGAGAGATTAAAGAGGCTAGGACTTTTCAGCTTGGAAAAGAGGAGACTAAGGGGGGGATATGATAGAGGTATATAAAATCATGAGTGGTGTGGAGAAAGTAATAAGGAAAAAGTTATTTACTTGTTCCCATAATATAAGAACTAGGGGCCACCAAATGAAATTAATGGGCAGCAGGTTTAAAACAAATAAAAGGAAGTTCTTCACACAGCACACAGTCAACCTGTGGAACTCCTTGCCTGAGAAGGTTGTGAAGGCAAGGACTATAACAGGGTTTAAAAGAGAACTAAATAAATTCATGGCGGTTAAGTCCATTAATGGCTATTAGCCAGGAAGAGTAAGGAATGGTGTCCCTAGTCTCTGTTTGTCAGAGGGTGGAGATGGATGGCAGGAGAGAGATCACTTGATCATTACCTGTTAGGTTCATTCCCTCTGGGGCACCTGGCATTGGCCACTGTCGGTAGACAGTATATTGGGCTGGATGGACCTTTGGTCTGATCCAGCATGGCCATTCTTATGTTCATAGGAATTCTGTTAGAATATTAAAGTATTGTACATAAAAAAAAACAATGGCAGATATAGACACTTATTTTTGCACATTGCATCTCTTAAAAAAACTCTGCAGCTGCTGTCTTTTTATTAACAGGTCAAATTGCCTTGTGATGGGCTGTGTACTTCTGAATGCAGACATAGTTCTTCAGTATCTTATGGCTGTTTAGAAAAGTTCCTAGGAGCGTTATTTAAAAATTGCAATTAATCAGACTGAACAAAAACAAAAAGCCCCAAAGACCACCTGGTATATCAGATATTATTAAGTGTGCAGTACATACCTGGGAAATTTGTTGTAATTTACATATAACTGACCCAATTATGCACATTATAATGCATGAATTCTCAACTCAATGTGCTGTACAGGTTGAAATTCATGGTTGTGATGTCATAGTTTAAGGCCAGAAGGGACCACCAGATAACTGAGGATGACCTCCTATATATCACAGAGAAGGGAAGGGGCACATTTCACCAAAATTGGAGATCTGAGTGAAATAACTAGCCCACGAAAGCTTATGCTCTAATAAATTTGTTAGTCTCTAAGGTGCCACAAGTACTCCTGTTCTTTTTGCGGATACAGACTAACACGGCTGGTACTCTGAAACCTGTCATTGTGTTAAATTAGTTTCTCCTCAAATGACATCCAATATGGCAAGTTATTTCATTAATATATACAGGGTAACCACATATTTCAGGCCTCGTGCAGGAAGACAAATGGAGAATATCATGTGCAAGCAGTACTGAAGTGAACTATAAAATAATGACAGGAAAGGCAGATTTAACTTGCTATATGCTTTAGCCCAGAACTGGAAGTTTTAGCCCACCTCCTGCCCTATTCAAACAACCTTTTAATCCCAGCCCCACAGCTACCAGAGATTGAAGACTGTTTATTTGCACTATAATTAGAAATGTAGGGCCAACTATGCTTTCAATTACACTGGTGCATGCCCATAAATTTCAGTGGGGTTGCACTAATGTAACAGAGCAGAATTTGACCCTTATTCCATTTAATTAAATCCAGGATGCATTAAATTGTTATGCACATCTTTTGGGATAGTCTATGTTTCATTCATCATTATTAATTAAAGGTGATCTTGAAAACAAAATAAAATTTGCTTTTACCATATACACCTTTTTATTAGGCTCTGATTTAGTAAAGCGCTTAACACTCACTCACTCTATCCCTGTTCTGGACAGCACTTAAGCTTGTGCTTAAATCTCACTGAAGTCAAAGTTAAGCATGTATTAAGGGTTGTCCTGAATAAGGATAGCTTCCTGAATTGAAGTTTATATACACAGATGGCCTTTCAAACTTTCAAAAAGTTTTGCTTTGGTTATACGTGAGTATAACATGAGCGGACTCACCCCTGCAGCGCCTCCTGCTGGTCTCAGGGAATTAGCTCGACCCAGCCTCCGGAGCACCCTCTGCAGGCTAGTGATCTGCCTTGCTCTCTACTTCTGGGCCCCGTGTCCCTGCCAGGACCCCAGTGCCCCTTGCTCAGGGTGCTGCGCCCTGGCAGTACCCACACACTAGGTCTCCCCTCCCAGGGGAACCCCCACCCACTAACCCTACCACGCCTCAGTATCCGGCTACTGTCAGTCACCATCTAGCCCTACGCCCAGGGGCAGACTGCAGTATCAGCCACTCATCACAGGCAAGGTTGGGTTTGGGCCTGCTGCCTTGGCCTATCTCTGGGCTGCCCTGTGCAACCCCTAGTACCTCCTGGCCTAACACTAGGCCGCAGCCTGGGGCTTTCCAGGCTGGAGCTCCTCAGCCTTCCCCCAGCCCTGCTCCACCCAGGTACTCTGCTCTAGTTCCCTGCAGCCAGGCCCTTCTCTCTCTGCACTCAGAGAGACTGCTGAGCTCTTGGCTCCCAGCCTTCTTATACAGGCCAGCTGAGGCCTGATTGGGGCATGGCCCAGCTGTGGCTACTTCCCCAATCAGCCCCGTAGCTTTTCCCTTTGCCCCAGCCCTCTGCCAGGGCTCAGGCAGGAGCGGGGTAATCACCCCGCTACAGTGAGAAATTTTAGTGATAACAAAAGAAATGTCAGGAATATCATAGACTCTAAGAAGCAGTACCTCCGTTCCTAAAATTGACAGAAGGGAGAGGTGCCGTTTACCTTACAGCCTTATGTGACGCCCAAATAAATTTGTTAGTCTCCTTGTTGTTTTTGCTGATACAGACTAACATGGCTACCACTCTGAAATCAATATTAAGGTCTTCCAAAAATGGCAAGATCCTCCAGCAAAGAGAGAGGAGGCTGTGCCTGCTACTTCTAACATTAAAACCAAGAATTCCCTGTCCCCATATCACCAGTCCTGGGATGAATATTTACACAATGCATATATGTGTGACTTATACAAATATTCATTGTATATGTATTTATATAAACACACACAAAATAACTTTTCCCTGAATCATTTTCCGATGGCTAACAAAGATTAAAATTTATTTTTCAGTAGGCCTTGGCTACCTCCGCCTTCCCAAATAATAATCTAGCATTTACTTCACATGTATTTGAGTAGAGATTACTTTTTCTGCTGCTGCAAAAGGATAGCTTCCCCTCCCCCCCCAATTTATCACAAATATAATGTTACAAAATTAACATTTCCTATTTTAATGGCAACATGTGCACTACATTAGTGAAAACTCATATTTTACATAATCAAGTATACTACAATTTCACTGTCGGACTAAACTCTCCAACATCATTATGAGCAAATATTTGTTTATCACATGACTATATTATGATCTATATTGCTGATAGAGTCCTGTAGTTGTCCATTAGCAGTTTATATTACAACTGTTCTTCAAAAATATATCTTTACATCTTTTTAGAAGACTCACTATATATTGTACTTTTTATATCTACATAAAAGAAAAAATAGGGAAAGAACTTGTAAAATGAAACCTTTAGAGATTTGACCAAAGGAAATTGACATGAGACATGATTTTTGCAGTTGAATTGTAAAGAGCACCATTTTAAAAATTCATGCAAAGTATGGCAACTTGATTTCTCAGCAGACTCAATTTTATTGTTAAATCAGTTGAGTATTTTAAATCAGCATAGTTGTATTGGCAGATTATTATCTTCAGTTGACATGATTGCAGTAAGTTTATTTTAAAAATTGCAAATAATGGGAGTTATTTTGTCCAGTATCCCTCTGAGCATTTACGGGAGCAAAAATGTAACAAGAAATAAAAGGTTATATAGGACTTGAATCTCTGAACAGTGATACAGACGGTAATCAGTCTTTTTCATTTTTTCACAAAGATATGCCTTTTTCAGCATTTTAGAAGAAGGTTGCTAGAAAATGTCCTATTTGCAAATCTCAGTCCTCATTCAGCAAAGAGTTCATTTTTCTTGGTTGTGTGTTCAGTGTTCAGTGCTCAGCATATTGTGTCAAACACTTTGTTCATATATTCCTACACGGTCTAATCTGCTTTCTGGGAAATATAATGGTTATGGGGTTTCAGATGCACTTTATTGCCATAAACTAGAAAGAAAAGGGAGACAGGAAGTGTTTACAAAAGAGATTCTGTCTATAATGGCCAGAAAAACTGTGCTAGCATTTACCATCTTTCTGGTGAACTGTGCTTAAACATTTTTTTGCGTGAAAATACTCTAATCAAAGTGTCCGTGCCCGTTGTATGCAGGACCATAGGGACCATGCAAACAAATTATATGGCACAAACAGATTAAAAAAAATAATGGAAGAAACAATGGAAACGAGCAAGATGCCTGTTTCCATCTCCCAGCATTTATACATGAGAGATGGCTGATGTCAGCGTCACAGATATAAATCAAGACCAACTCCAGTGAAGACAAAGCAGTAAGACTAGGGTAAAAATGGAGTGAAGGAAATCAGAATCTGGCTCCTGCTAGGATAAATCTCTCTGCTCAGCGTATTTATAGTCTCCATCAATGTACTATCAAACGGTTTATTTTCATTACATGGAGGCAAGATATCAAATGGGTGTATGGTCCCAATAGCATCAATATTGGGTCTATGTTTGTCTAATATTTTATAAACAATTTGGAATAAATGAATTGTAAATGGATCAAATATGCAGATATCACAAAATTTCTGGAGGAGGATCTGCAAACATGCCCTTAAAAAGAATTACAGAATGATCCAGAGAGAACTAGAGAACTGGACAGAAATAAGTGGGAATGAGTTTACTTTGAAAAATGCATTATGTGAGCATGCGGTGGAGGAAAGAAAATAATAGCATTCAGAAGTACACAATGGAGATTGATGGTTAAGACATCTTAAATACAGAGACAGGTATAGGCACAAAAATCCAACATGAATTTACACTGAGGAGAAAAAAGCAAAGCTATTCTGGGGTATATACACACTTCATCTCTTAATATAGCTTTAGTACATTCAGACTCAGACTGTTTACAGTTTGAAACTCTTCACTAGAAAAAGACTGAAGAGAAACTCCATAGAAAGGCTACAAAAATGATAAAAGGATTAGGCATTATAACATACAAAGACAGACTAAGGGCTCAATCCTAGCATCCTCAATGTAGAAAAAAACCTCCTTTTGACTTCAGTGGGGTTTGGATAAGACCCTAAATTGCCAAGGGAGGTCACTGAGGCAACAGCGTTAGAGATGTTAACCATAAACTTGATTAAACTTGTACGCCGACATTTTCAAGTATAGGTACCTAAAATTGAGGACCTACTGGTATATCCAGTAAGGTGGTAAGGTGATAGGAAACAGCCAGCATGGATTTGTAAAGAACAAATCATGTCAAACCAATCTGATAACTTTCTTCGATAGGATAACGAGTCTTGTGGATAAGGGAGAAGCTGTGGATGTGGTATACCTAGACTTTAGTAAGGCATTTGATACGGTCTCGCATGATATTCTTATCGACAAACTAGGCAAATACAATTTAGATGGGGCCACTTTAAGGTGGGTGCATAACTGGCTGGATAACCGTACTCAGAGAGTTGTTATTAATGGTTCCCAATCCTGCTGGAAAGGCATAACGAGTGGGGTTCCGCAGGGGTCTGTTTTGGGACCGGCTCTGTTCAATATTTTCATTAGTGACTTAGATATTGGCATAGAAAGTACGCTTATTAAGTTTGCGGATGATACCAAACTGGGAGGGATTGCAACTGCTTTGGAGGACAGGGTCATAATTCAAAATGATCTGGACAAATTGGAGAAATGGTCTGAGTTAAACAGGATGAAGTTTAACAAAGACAAATGCAAAGTGCTCCACTTAGGAAGAAAAAATCAGTTTCACACATACAGAATGGGAAGAGACTGTCTAGGAAGGAGTACGGCAGAAAGGGATCTAGGGGTTATAGTGGACCACAAGCTAAATATGAGTCAACAGTGTGATGCTGTTGCAAAAAAAGCAAACGTGATTCTGGGATGTATTAACAGGTGTGTTGTGAGCAAGACACGAGAAGTCATTCTTCCGCTCTACTCTGCTCTGGTTAGGCCTCAGCTGGAGTATTGTGTCCAGTTCTGGGCACCGCATTTCAAGAAAGATGTGGAGAAATTGGAAAGGGTCCAGAGAAGAGCAACAAGAATGGTTAAAGGTCTTGAGAACATGACCTATGAAGGAAGGCTGAAAGAACTGGGTTTGTTTAGTTTGGAAAAGAGAAGACTGAGAGGGGACATGATAGCAGTTTTCAGGTATCTAAAAGGGTGTCATAAGGAGGAGGGAGAAAACTTGTTCACCTTAGCCTCTGAGGATAGAACAAGAAGCAATGGGCTTAAACTGCAGCAAGGGAGGTCTAGGTTGGACATTAGGAAAAAGTTCCTAACTGTCAGGGTGGTTAAACACTGGAATAAATTGCCTAGGGAGGTTGTGGAATCTCCATCTCTGGAGATATTTAAGAGTAGGTTAGATAAATGTCTATCAGGGATGGTCTAGACAGTTTTTGGTCCTGCCATGCGGGCAGGGGACTGGACTCGATGACCTCTCGAGGTCCCTTCCAGTCCTAGAATCTATGAATCTATGAATCTATGAATCCATATTAGGTACCAAAAATAAATGACCTGATTTTGAGAGATGCTGAGCTGCATGTGTTCAGTGTATTGTGATTTAATGGGGTTTCTCTGTACGTCAGAAGGCAAAGGCAAAAGGCTTTGGACAGCTTGTAGGTTTTTATAGTTTTGGTTACTGAGTTACCGTGGTGATGGGAGCATTATAAATGGGGAGAAAGTATATGTGTACTGTATTTCTACATTGTGCAGGGGAATGAAATAGATAACTATGGAGATCCTTTCCAGCCTTTCGCCAATGATAAGATATTGTTGTGGTTTGAAAATGGTTATGGGCTTTACCACATATTTTAAAATGTTACTTAAATAAAAGTAATTAATGTTAATATGCTCTATTTTTTAAATTTTACTTCAAAGAGAAATCTGACTGAGCACAAGGAACCTTGGTACCTGCAAACCAGCGCAATGGTTACTTCAGCACCGTATCTGCTACCTCATCTAGATATACGAGATGATGAAATGACCTTTCACCACAAATATGAACCTAGTTTAAAAACAATGATTCCTGTCCGCCTCAAAGCAAAGCAAGTCACATTTATTTATAATTGAAATATAATATATAGAAAGAAAATCATTTTTTGATGGCTAATGAAGATTAAAATTTATTTTTCAGGAAGTCTTGATTACCCCCACCTCCCCAACTATTAAGCTAGCATTTACTTCAAATGTATTTTAGTGGCTAAAATTGCATTATCTGTTTTAATGAACCTACTAACGGTGTCTCACTTATATTTAATTGGTTAATTGAGTTAATACAATGCCAAGAAAATTTTTAGGCATAATCTGAGCTGAGCTAAACTGACAGAATCTGACATTTCAGCATTGTTGAAAGCTAGCATGAGTGACTACTCTGATGCTCTGTGTATGTCCTGTAGCATTATCTGAGGAGGATACTGATTAAATGCAGCAAATGCCAGTTGATTTCAAATAATGAAGCTGGTTTTTAGTTCAGAAGCTGAGCACACAGCGTGCTTTGGAAGCTACAGACTAGATTCTCACCCCATCAGTGTGACCTTATCTTATCATTAATTAATAAGTGGTGTATTCATACTATCTATCACTCCACTAAGGGATGCATGATGGTCTCTGCCTAACAGTATCGAAAGGTCTTTATATGGCTCAGAAAACATAATTTTCTACAGTTAACATTTGTAAGGTCAGTGAGACAACCGTGAAATTAACTTGAATACTGTATTAGTAGCTTCTATTTTCCCCCTAGATCTGCTGTTAACCCAATGGATAATGCAGGACTGTTCTCATTTGCTACATATTCTTGGCTTTCATCTTTAATGATCAAAGGATACAGACACAATATTAACGCGGACACCTTACCTCCATTATCATATCATGATAGTTCAGAGCCAAATGCAAAAAGGTAGGACTATTTCAATTTTTCAATATAATTATTGTAAGATTCCTCCTTATGTGGTTTTCTTTATTGAGAGCCATGATTTGAGACTGCTGGGGGGGGCACTAGATATAACATATAATAGCAGTTTTTAGCTGCAAAATGTTTTGCATGTTTCCTACTGTTTGACTCAGTACAGGACCCTTAAGAAAAAAACAAACAATAAAAAAGAGGAGGAAGAGAAAGGAAAAGAAGAAAAGTTGTTGGGATTGTTTTTTGAAAAAAGATACAAAAGAAGGGAGAAAGAAACAAAACTTCTTGAGTCTTCTCTTTCCTTTATTGCTTTTCCATTTATTCTTTCTTCCCATATCTTATACAAGGATTCCACATTGCAAGAAGCTGAGGTAGGGGGCAACTCCTCACAAGGAAGACCCAGGTGTGTTGAAATCAAGAACTCCCTCCAAAATTTTAGCCTTCTGTATGGCAGACAAGGCTTCTTCAGCTATGGCACTACAGGTCCTGGTCCAAAGCCCACTGAAGTCCATGGGAGTCTTTCCATTAATGGGATTTGAAACAGACCTGAAGGGCTCAATCCTGACAGGTACTGAACATTCTGGCCCAAATCTAGCAATGCACATAAGTACATTAACTTCAAACACATGTTTAAGTGTGTTACTGGATCAAGACCAGAATGTCAGCATCATACAGTATTGAGCCTAAATGTATTGCAAAGCTCTTTGAAAGGACTAGTAAATTTTGCACATAATGGATTGGGAAAAGAATATTAAGGACCCTATGTAACTTTGATTTAGTGGTTGTAGTATTCATTAGTTCAGCCCCAGGTACCATCAGCAACCAATTAATTCCTGAGATTTTGAAAACTATTTCAACCCAGTCCATTTTGGAATACATACACTTAGCTGAACAGTTAAGAATATCTGTCCTCAGATTACAAATTTTAATGTTTTCAATGTGATAATTTCCTTAGAGGAATCACATTGAATAATGAATTCCCTTCATGAATTGTTGATCTATAAAAATGTTCTTTGTATAATTTTTAGATTTCTATAACTATTGATTGACAGGATGAGGAACTGAATTTTAATTTTATCATTGTAGCAGTTTCATATATGTTTCTTATTAACTGTTGTGATTAGAAAAAATGCTTTACCATTCTATTTATCTATTTATCTATTCTATTTAACCTTCTACTCTTTAATATGTGGGGATATTTTTTTCCTCCAGATTTCGACTCCTTTGGGAAGCAGAGCTTGCAAGAGTTGGGCCTGAAAAAGCTTCGTTGGTCAGAGTAGTTCTTAAGTTTCAGAGAACAAGAATTTTGGTGGATGTGATAGCAAACTTCATTTGTATTATCTTGGCTGCTTTAGGACCAGTAAGTAGTTCCATACTGATGAACAATTTTAGTGTACTGCAATTAATCTCTCTCTGATAAACTAAGTATGGGAAATGGAGACCATTTTTTGTTGCTCAGTTATTGATAGAATTTTAAAGAACTAACGGGCATTAAAAGACATTAATCTCACCAATCACCTGTAATGAGAGGATTCCATGGATATGTCATGGCCAAATGACTCTACTTTAATCTTTGTTTTTTATAAAGCTGTCTCATCTAAAGTATGGTGTCATGGAAGGTCTGGGTCAAATCAGATATTTTATTGCAAATCTAAAAAAGATTTCTGGTGACATATAACATGAGCTTCAACTTATAAGAGTTCAAGGCCTGCTAGCTGTTCATACATGTAGAATCCCCATGTTCTATATATGACAAATCAATAGAAATCTAAAGTAATTTTTATTATTAAAGTATTGAATTCTTCACAGAGACCCTAACAGCAATCTTCCATTAGTCAGAAACATGTTCTGAGTCCTTCTACCCATCACTGTAGTCTGAGGACCTAGTCATGGTATCACCGTATGTTTACTACATGCAGTATGTATTACATTTGCAGATTTTAAGAGTATCCTGCATTATTATTCTGTTTACTAGTGCCATTTCTGTTGTGAAGTCAGAAGTTAAACATTTGTACAGTACCAATTACATTTAAAGTACTTGCCTCTATAAGTAGGCAAGCCCACGAGCTTGCTTGGCAAATATGCTTTATCTAGAAGATGTACATGAGTACTAAAAAAAACCAACAACAAAAACTTGCACTGTAAAAATGCCCCATAATAATATCACATTAACTTGTGACCATCTCAAAAATCTTAGTTGTATCATCTACCTAAAGATCACAAAGCAAAAGATTGTTTGTTGAGAATCTCCGTAATAAGGGGATACAAAGGAATGGGGGTTTTAATAACTGTTAAAAAGGAAGAGACATGCAAAATGGTTCCTGCTACAGAAAATCAAGGCAGCAAATGCCTCTAAAGACAATGGCATCAAGTAGAGGAGCCATAGCTTGCTGCAGGGATGGGGCAGAGTCTATACAAGAAAGGGGTAGACAACAGGGCCATCTTCAAACTTTAATAGATCCGCAATGCTTGTCATTCACCTATCCCTATTTATTGCTTACATTTTACAGCTTCTTAAAGTAGAAATGGCAGATTTTGGGGGGGAAACTTTGCTTCACCATTCTTTGATGATTTTCAAAGATATTTCTGTGGGCTTGAGAGAGATAGTATCTGTCTGAGAAGAACTTGAGAAGAAGGTAAGGAGGAAACCCAGATAAGTCAGAAGGATTTCAGAAACAAGTTGACAAATAAGATTATTCTACCTCATTAGTGATTTCCAGTGATTTTTTTAAACTGTTTGTGGGAAGAGAGGAACTGAGAGCCTTAGGGTATGTCTGCACTGCAATCAAACATCTGTGGCTGGCCCATTGCGCTCAGGCTGTGGTGCTATAAGATTGCACTGTTGACATTCGGGTTCAGGCTGGGGACCCTCCCTGTAAGAACTAGGTTACCTGGATTGAGGCAAGACAGAAGCTGGGTCCAAGGCAGAAGCAGGCCTAGAAACAAGCTAACAAGAAACTCAGGAGCTATTGCTTCTATGGGCAAATGCTTTGAGCAGCCCCTGAACTGCTGTTGCGGCTGGGCTTAAGAGCCAGTCTGATGGCTCTTCCAGTCAAATAGGCTGTGTAGCCAATCAAGCAGCCACAGGCCAGCTGTGCTCATTAGGTTGTCCGGAGAATGTCTGCTGCAGGCCCTGCTGCTAGACTGGCTCTGCTAAAGGCCCTGATTCTTGTCAGAGGTTTCTTTTTATTACATGTACTACTGTAGCGTTCATTTTTTATTCCTGTCCCATGTAACTGTGGATATTCTCATTAGCCATAGAAATGTCTAATCCTTTTATTGAATCCTAATAAGCTCCTGATCTCAATGATATCTCATGGGAATGAGTTCCAATGGTTCATTAAATTTTGTGTTAGTCTTTTCTTTTAGCAATTTGTCTTTTAAATTTGTTGCCCTTCAGTTCTGTCAATCATCCTCTTATATTTAAAAAATCCCACTTTCTAAATTTTAGTCTCAGCATACTAGCTTTTGGTGTGATTCCTCCTCCAAGAATGTTGAACTTAATTATATTGCAGTCAATATTACTTTGTGGCTCTATTATTGTCCTTGAACCAACCTATTCTGTGTGGTAATAAGAAACAAGTCCAGAATAATCTCTCCCTTTGGAACTATTTGTTCCAAAAAGCAATTGTTAAACCTTGTTCTGATGTGACAATTGACCAGTTTAAGCACGCTTAGTTGAAATCCCCATTATTGCAGTTTTATCAATTAATGTATTTGTTCACACCTCCCTCACAGAGTAGCAGCAACTTTTGGTAACTAGCTACCTGAGCTGATTTCAGTGGTTTATATCAGGATATCAAGAGTGGATAAATATTTTCATTGGGCCAATAATACAAGTAACTAATTTCAGAATCTTCCCGTAGTGAAACCACGTGGTTCTCAAATGTGACAGACAGATAGGTAACTGGTAACCATCTATTAAAATCTAGCCAGGCATCATCCTGCACTCATCACCATAGTATCTGAGTGCCTATCCTTTAGTACCTCATGAATATAAAATGTACTTTCCTTCCCAAAACCTCTATTATTTATATGTATAAATCCCATATGGTACCATGCTGGGTATGCCTACACTGCGCAGCACTTGCAGAGGTGTGTAGGGTACATGTAGCTACACCCTGCAGTGAAAAGCTGTCTGAGTCCACACTGCAATGTGTACACATGTCAGTGAAAGGCTCTGAGGGGAGGGAGGGTAGACAGTGGGAAAGGGCTCTGAGGGGAGGGAGGGTAGACAGTGGGGAAAGGCTCTTGAGGGTGGGAGGACCTGCCAGAGCCTTTCCCCTCAGGCTCCCTGCTGCTGGAGCCTTTCCCTGCAGTGGTGAAAGACTCCAGCAATGAGGAGGTAGCATAACATTACACTACTAAAATAGCTGCATAGATGGAGAGGTACTGCAGAGTAATGTAGGGCACATACCTGCATGGTTCAGCCGTTTTGTCACTCTACTCACCTAAGCAGTGCCTCACCATCTACACTGCTATGTATACCACTGCTAGGGGGGCATGTAGGTTATGAACTCTACATGCTACTGAAAGGAGTGTGCATTGTAGAGGTATCTGTGGAAGCAGCACAGTTCCTGACTTTGCTGTGTTGAACTTCCCAAAGGTTAACAGATGTGAACATTTTCATGATGCAATTTAAAAAAATAATTCTGAAATTTCTTTGCAGACTGTGATCATTCATAAAATTCTACAGCACAGTGAAAGCGTCTCCAAAGACAGCATTCAGGGAATTGGACTCTGCATAGCACTTTTTCTTGCTGAACTTTCCAAAGTAACATTTTGGGCATTGGCGTGGGCCATCAACTACCGTACAGCTATACGATTAAAAGTTGCTGTATCTACAGTAGCTTTTGAATATCTATTAGCATTTAAGTCTTTGACACACATCTCTGTTGGTGAGGTAAGTTTTCATAATCATATTCTACTTCTTAACCTCTAGGTGGCCTTTAATGTCTGAGCTGTTTTTGTGAAATACTAAAATAAGTCAATTTAAATGGTATAGTCACATAAGTCTTGATGCACTAATAAACAGTATATGGATAATGGATCCTGAAAGTCTTACTCCTGGGATTATAAAAACATGATTGGTTTAAAAACTCTTGGTCACAAAAATATTGATAAAAGGGAGAACTATTCATCGCTCTCTTTTTATGTGTTTGCAGGTCATTAATGTATTATCTAATGATGGCTATCGAATGTTTGAAGCTGCCTTATTTTGTCCTCTGCCAATTACTGTGCCTGCACTAATGATCGTTTGTACCATATATTCTTGTCTTATTCTTGGTCCCACTGCACTCACAGGAACATTTGTTTATATTATATTTATACCTCTACAGGTAAAGTGACTAATTTTCCTAATCATTTTATATGTACATCGATCAATATTAAATGTAAGGCTGAGATTTTCAATGGACCCTAAGAGTATAAGGCACTAAAATTTAATGTGGAGTTGGGTACTTAACTCCTTAGGCTCCTTTGAAAATCCTTACCTTAAATCATATTTTATTAAAGAACTCAATAAAGGACCATGTTCTTCTCTCAGTAAATGCAAAGTAACTCTATTCTCACAGTTGCTCTGGAATAACTAAAAGGAGAATTTGTCCCAATATCTGAATTTCTATTACCTATGCCTCTGATCTCATTCTGATACACAGCACTGCAATACCTACTTGCAAGTATCTTTTCACTTTGGTGTTGCCATTTAAGCCGTTTTAGAAAAACTAAAATGAATGTGATTTAAAGACAAAACAAGGGCCAAATTTTCAAAAACAATCAGGTACGATAGTTACAGATGATAATTCTAACATATGTAACTGCAATTTTGTACCTGTTGTACAATCAATAACTCGTGCAAGCGTAGAGACTATTATGAAAATATGGCCTTAAGATAGTTCGAGTGTGTTAATTAATGTATTAATTGAGTATTCACTGGTGCTTAAATTTTTCATATAAAGAATAAACTACATTCAGAATAGTTAAAGGAGCTTTCCTTTCAAGCAGTAAGAGTGGAATAATCCGTTGTTACTTTTAAATTAAGCTATATGTCTTTTATTTCTATTTAAAAGGGATTCATAGAGCTGTTTAGTTAATGAAATGTGTTTTCAATTGATTAAACTTTTTCAGGCACATCTTAACAGTTTCTAAAGTACATTTGATAATCTCCTACTGTACAATGCTGTCGCACCTATAGGAGCTAAACACACAGAACCACAAACCATTGCCTCAAAGTGTTTTCAATACAGTGGCAGCAGGTTGTTTTTTTTTGAGTGTGTGGTTGTGTGGATGGTCAATGGCTACAACTGGCAATATTGCAGGAGCCAGTTGCCACATCCTTTAAAGTACAGCATTATACTTCTACCTCACAAGCTAGTCTTTATACGTTAGAATGTTTTTCCTCCATATACTTCCAAACTTTTTTGAATATTCATGTTTCCAGCATCTACTGCTGTTCATTACAGTATTCCACTGAACACAATAAAGGACTCATTCAGGCCTCCTTTTTTGCATCCAGTAATATATATTGTATAGCTTTCTTGTTCTTTTTCTAACTTGATATTAGCATCTGTAAGGGTAAAAATATATACATATTAAGGTGAATAGGAAATCACAGCTGTTTCCTGTTGTTCCCTCGTCATGTCTAAATAGTAAGGTGTATAGGAACATACAGATCTGTTCCTGTTTTTTACATGATATGTTAATGGCCTCTGACATGGAACATGGAAGCAAGCTCTAGTCTAGGTGACACACATCTTAGAAGAAGAGTCAAATTAGAAAAGGAACAAGAAATCTATACAATATATATTGGATGCAAAAATGGAGTCCTGAATGAGGCCTTTAATGTGTTCATTGGAATACTATGATGAGTATCAACAGAAACTGGAAACATGAATATTCAAAAAAGAGTTTGGAAGCATATGGAGGAAAAACATTCAAATGTATAAAGACTAGCTAGTGAGGTAGCAATATAATGCTGTCATTTTAAAAGGATGTGGCAATTGGCTCCTGCAATATTGCCGTTGTAGGCATTTACCATCCACACAGACACACACTCAAACATGTTTGCTTAAATTCACATTTTTTGTTAGACGTCTCCATTTTAAGGATATGTTTTAATAGCATTTTTACATCTTGATTGCAGATGCTCATGGCTAAGCTCACATCCGTATTCCGACGAGCTGCTATTTCAGTGACTGATAAGCGTGTGCAAACAATGAATGAGATTTTAACATGCATTAAATTGATTAAAATGTATGCTTGGGAAAAATCTTTTGGAAAGGCAATCAAAGGTATAGAAAGCGGCTATTTTAAAGTAGTATATAAAATGGTAACTGTGCCTTTCTGTCCAATATCAGTGACTTATAGAAACTTAATGTGCTCTGTGTTTTAAAACCACTTATTGTCTCTAAGAAGGATGTTCATGAACCCCTGATCTGTTTTCTCCACTGAAAATCAGCAGAACATAGGCTCCTAAGTCAGTGAGGAACTTTTGAAAATGTTACCCCTGAAGTATCATGCCATTTACTCCATGACCCTGCCAGTGCAGCTCCCTACAGTATATTACCTAGTCTACTTCCTGATCCAGTCTAATTTCAACAATTCCAAGCAATGGGGTTAACAAGATTCCCAACCCTGATTTTGAGCCTACATTTTTCTTTTATCCCATTACTCCTACTTATACCCGCTGTAGCACCCTCAATAATTCCACTCATTCTCTCCTTGGTGTTTATACTCTTCAAATACTTGTAAAATCTTATATCACCTTTATTGCTTAGTCAAGCCATGCATATTTGGCTCTCTTTTCTCATAAATTATTCCCTCTAGCTTCCTAATAAAATTTTTGCTCTTCTCTGAACTCACTCCAATTTGTCTACAACAAGCAGCAAATCTTGCCAAACAAATCTGATTACTGCTTTTGGCTGTTACAAAGTAAGGGCTCAATCCCAAAAGGTTGCTGTGTGCCCTCAACTCCCATCATAAGTGGGAGCTGAAGAGCAGTTAGTACCTCTCAGGATTGGGCCCCTAATAAAGGAAGGTAGCAAATGCAATATAGGATTTAATAGGATGACTCATGAAATGTTGATCACGAGATTAATTTGTACTGGCCTGGATGCGAACACTTACCTAGATTGGAAACTGAAGTGCCATAAACAAAGTGGAATGATAAAACAGCATTAAATTGGGGGTGGGGGGAGATTTTAAGATTTGTCTTATTTAATCTCTTCATTCATGATGTGGAAGTGGAGGTAAATAACACATTGATCAAACTGGCTGACACTAAATCAGGAGGTGGTCAGAACACAGTAATAATACAGAGGTAGCAATATGGCAGAAAATAAGAAGAAGAAATTCAGCTAATATATTTAGGTAAAAATGACCCAAAACTATTCAATGGGAGACCAAAAGCTGGAAAGCAGGAATATCGGGAGAGCTATAGGGATAAAGGACAGCAAATAAGAAACATTGTGTTTTGGCAATAGAAAGGGTAACAATTAAAGAGTGCATATGGGGTGGCATCTCTCGACAGGAGATAGTTCGTCTTTGCCTGCTATGGTGGTAATGCACCTGGAATGTTGCATCCTGTATTGCAATATTTCCCTTTCTCCAGGCAGCCCCACCTCACAAATCCCTTACCTTAGAGCCTAAAGCCTGAATTTCCATGATCCTGGCCAGGGAATCGGACAGGGAAATCAGAGCACTGGAGGCCAGAAGAGCTGTGCATATGGTCAAAGGAGGATGGGGGAAAGATATGTGATGAGTCTCCACATATGGGTGAGACCAAATGGAAGCCTATGGGGGGAAATGGTCAGAAGCAGCCAGGATAGACTGAACAGGGGGAAATCCTAGACCAGATGGGACAGCTGCAGGGTATACCACTAAGGAGTTACACTCCTATGGGTGGTCAAGAGAGGAACATTAAGTGAGTCAGTCCTCCAGAAATAATCTTAGAAGGGCAGCAGTAAACTGAGGTGCTGCTCTTATAAGAGGGCTCCTAACCTTTGAATGGGTGATACATAGAGATAAAATGGGACACAAAAATAGAACTTTGGGACCAAGTGAGCTATGGAGAAGGGGACAAAGGAAACAGTCTTCCCACTGTCCATGAAGATCCTTACTCTGGTGGGGAGAAAAGCAGCCCCCTAAAGGCTTCACATAAGAGGGAGTAGGTGAGGTGGCTCTCCCTCAAGGCTGCAAAAGGTAAGTGACGGGATACCTTTGGAAGGGAGTGGACGGATTCCGGGCCACTGAAGAGAGGGCCAGGCTTACTGGGGTGAAAGGGTTACTGAAGTGGAGGTGCTTTGATCAATTTTAGTGCAACTCACCGAGAGACATTTTTTGTGTTTTCCCTTCCCTTTTCCGCTTTGAGTTTGCATTTTCACACAAACCCAAAACTCAAAGCAAAACTGGGGTTCTGAACCTGTACAAAGCAAGCCCATCGTCTTGTTCATCACAACCCATGCTATCTTAAATGTAGCCCTTGTAAAGACTTCCTCCAGATTTTGGAGTAAATATGGAAATAAAATATTTATACAAAAATACAGATTTAGGAAGGTAAACATGGTAATGAAAAGAGAGCGCTCTAAAATCAATGTTTAACTGAACCTAAGTGCAAACATTTGAGTCTGTTTACTGATTATCCATCATTTAATGCTTTTAAAGGGCAAAAATATATAGTCTTTTATCGGGAAATGTTACTTTTACCATATACCCACAAACCAACAAAAAATATTTCCATCAATAGTAACTGAAATTTAATTAAATTTAAATTTAAAGCTTTAACTTTTTGAAGCTCAACATCTGTCATTAATTATTGTTTGACATCCCTTCCAGTTTTCTGCACCAGTGAAAATTTAAACTTGATTACAAATAAAAGAATGCTTAAAGACATAATTTTACACAACTGTGAAAATTTAAATCAATAGATTTTAAAAAAAAAACAACTGGTATTATCTATTGAAGTTATTAAAAAAAATCAAAATCAATTTCTTCCAAATCTAAAAGTATATATGTAAGGTAGTCATTTAGGCTTTTGCTTAATCATAAGATTTTTGTTTGTTTGTTTAAAGGGAACAATGTTTAAATAGCTTTTGTGTTACCACCTTAATGCTATCAAATGTAGGGCCATAAATTTACCTTTGGTGCATGCAATTCAATTGATATCAATGTCTCCCAAATCCAGGCTTAGTATAAGGAAGGCCTTTGCTGTTTAGAATGGTCTTCTCTTGAAAATGTTAGCTCTGCTTTACTTTTTTTTTATATTACAATATTTTAAATTTCTTATATTTCACAGGTATAAGAAATGTGGAAAGGAAAATACTGGAAAAAGCAGGATATGTACAAAGTGTAAACTCTGCTCTGACACCTATTGTATCGACACTGGCTACTGTCATGACATTTGTTTTACACACCCTTTTAAAGCAAGAACTAACTGCATCAGTTGTAGGACCTTTTTTTATATATTTTTCCCCCCAAAGTCCTTGTTCCCTTATAGTACTGTATATCTTTGTAGAGTAGATCTGGATCCTCTTAAATTTACTTACTTTCCCCTAGGATTTTTAATGAATGGCAGCTCCAAAATTAACATAGCTTTCCTGTACAGATATATATGGCCAGGTTTGTGTAATTTTTGGTGGTGCCCAGAATGGGTCCAAATTCTGCCCCCTCCCCACCCCCTACCCCCCGCACACACACCTGCCTAAGGCTCAGGGAGGAAGTTTGGGGGTGGGCGGGGTGCGGGCTCTGGGCTGGGGCAGGGGGGGTTGGGGTGTGGGAGAGGGTGAGGAGTTGGGGTTTACCTTGGGTGGCTCCTGAAAGTGACCCGCACACCCCTCTGGCAGCGGCTCCTAGGCAGGGGAGCCAGGGTGTCTCCGCACACCACTGCCCGCAAGCACCACCCTCGCAGCTCCTGTTGGCTGCAGTTCCTGGCCAATGGGAGCTGCGGAGTCCGCGCTCGGGGTGGGGGCAGCGTGGGGCCGCAGGAACGTGCTGGCCGCTTCTGGGAGTGGCAGGGAGCGAGGCCAGGCAGGAAGCTGCCTTAGCCCCACTGCGCTGACAGTGGTGGTGGCAGCAGCTGGGAGCCTGCAGGCCCTTTTAAATCGCCTGGGGGTAGCAGGCGGGGCCAGGAGACGCTCCAGGGCAGGTGCGTGGGGACGGCAAGCAGGGCCGGGGAGAGACCTGGTCCCAAACATTGGTGGAGCCGGGCCCCCAGGCCCTGAATATTCCTGGAGCACGGGCACCATGGACCAATACAACTCGCTGTCCCTGTATTTGGCTAGTAAACAAGGGTAGCTTCTATTAAACACTGCATGGTAAAGATAAAGTTAATAAATTAAATTGGTTATTAATTAGGGAAGCTTCTAAAAGAAGATATATGGTCTTTTAAATGCTTTAAAGTATTTTCTTAAATAGTAAGAAACTAACTAGACATTTGGGATCATTCACTACCCACTCCTTCCACACAGAACTCAATGCAGATTAATGCAAAATTCAGTCTGGTGAACAGCAAGATGCATTCCCCTTTAGAAAGCAGTAGCCAGGGAAAAGACGGAGGGCAGGAAGAGTAAACATACAAGCAAAGGAGGAAATTTTGTTTAAAAAAATAAACAATCTGACATGTAGGGGGTTTATTAGCAAAAACACTTGACTACAAAATGAGTGAGGATGTACAAAAGGAAAGTCAAAGAAACAACAAAAAGCAGGGGGAAAGATTCCATGTAATGCTGATAAAAGAGAATATAGCTTCTGATATACTATCAGAGTTTTGCCATTCACTTCAGTGGAGCCAGGATTTCATCCAATGAATCTATATGCTTATATGTCCCCCAGCATACCAGTATCCGAACACCTCCTCTATTGGAAAATAGAAATAATAGTGTGGTCTCTTTCTCCCCAGCCTGTAGGAGATATAACTTGAATAGTTGATAGGGTTTATGTGTTTACTGAGCAAACGCGGGTAAAGCTAAGCAGAAGGGATGAACACTGGATTTCATTGTAAACATGGTGAGATTAGTTGTCATTCTGACTTCTGGTAGCGAGTTCCATTGTCTTGGTCTAGCTCCTGTAAAGTTTGGCCTCCCATGTTGTTTGATCGTTTCATTGCTCCAGTGAGACACAGTTGTCATGGGAAGTCATGGCCATGGAAGTGATCTCTCAAGTAGACAGGGCCAGTTCCATGGAAAGCTTTGAATTTCAGGTTAGAAACCTTAAACTGTGGAGCTGGTGCAGAGTATTGCATAAAGGGGATGTATTTCACAACCCATTTTGCTAAACAAATCTGCTGATGCATTTTGTAACAGTTGTTTATTCCAGTTATGTTTCTTGTATATTTGTGTATAGTACTTTCATATTTTATGCTTTATGTGTGGGAGTCCAAAGATTCCCTATGAGAAAACAACGATGAAGAGTTTGGATAGGAGGTTGTGAGCTATTATATCAGAGTCCTTGCCCTTGTGGATGTTGAAATCTCCTGAGATGAGTCTTGTGAACCATATCACCATGTGAGAGAGCATCTGTATCAGCTTCTCTGGGAAGCCTGGGGGTGCTATAAAGCTTGTGGAGGGGCTGCAACTGTGACTAGTTTCTTGCACTGCCCACTAGAATTGGTTGAAAATTTTCCAACAGAACAATATTCTATTAGAAAATGCTGATTCAAGAGAACTGAAACATTATGTAGGAACATGTTGATTCTGTCAAAGTCTGCCTGCCTAGTTTCCTGCCAGTACAGACTCTCCCAGTTCTCTGACTCCCCAGGCAATTGCTTCCTGGGCTTGCCCAGCTCCCTAGGCAACTCTTGGAATTAAGCAAGGAACAAGCAAAAACATTAGCATCTTTTTATTTTGCACGTAACTGCATAAACAGAAAATGCACAAAGACAGTGGACATAATACCAATTTTTAAAATGCATAGTAAGCTAGAGGCCCCTTAATTACAAATCAGTAATCTCATTTATGTCTTATGAAAATACTGGGTTCATGTATTAGGGATGAAATGAAATGTTTCAGTTATAAGTGTATAACAGGAGTTAGGCACTTGCCAACATGTGTTCACTAAGAATAAGCCTGACTGATTTCTTTAAAGAAGTGACAAAGCATATGTAGGAAGGCAGGGCAGTGTATGTGAGTTACTTGGATTTCAGTGAAGTCTTTGATAAGGTATCACACAGGAAGCTTCTAGACAAGATACAAAAATGTGAGCTTCATTGCTAACATAGCAAGATGGATTGAAAGTTGGTTTGCAGGAAGGGTTCAGAGATTTATTGTTAATAGACCAAATTCCTCCCTCACCTAATTTCACTGAAATCAGTGGTAGAAGACCAAGGAAGAATTCTCCAAGTGATGTTCTAGAAAGCTATAAACTGGGACCAATGACATTTTGCATATTCATAATGACTTGAAAAATGGAAGGAGTTGCATTGTGTTTTAGCCACTCACGTTGCAATTATGAAAATGAAAACCACACAAATTAAAAGCATATAGATATATTTTTCCTACCCTTTAAAATATAATACAAAAATATATTTAGAATTTTAATGCAAAATAATCGTCGGCACTAAAACAGTAAAAGCCCTTTCCTTTTTTCTTTTGCAGGCATTTAGTGTGATTGCCATGTTTAACGTAATGAAGTTTTCAATTGCTATCTTGCCGTTCTCAGTGAAAGCAGCAGCAGAAGCTAAAGTTTCCCTAACAAGATTGAAGGTAAAGCATAGTTTTAAAATATTTGGGGAATTTTCTAGATAAGTGCAAACAAGGGCTTACCTATATAGGAAGTTATTCTGGAATAATTATTCCTGATTAACTCCCTATATGTACATACCTTATTCTAAATTAGCTTAATCCACTTCCAAAGTGGTTAAAATTGACCAGAATAAGAATCTTCTTAAATAAGACCATCCACACAAGAAGTTAATCAGAAATAGCTTTTCTGTTTTAATTCACATCCTCCCTTAACGGAATTAATTTCTCAGTGCAGACAATCCCTTAATGTAGATTATAATTTTACTTCTTGTTCAGAGCAATGGAAAGACTCCCATTGACTTCAATGACTTCAGGCATTATAACAGGCTTTAGTTAGTAAATAAAAGAAAACTATACTAAGCTACATACCTAATTCTAAAGAGAAAACTAAAAATGTGTATCTCAAAAGTAGAATTAAAAACAGAATAATTATCCATCAAATAACAAGCCACCACTGCCTTCTTCCTCTATTATTATTATTAGCATTGCGGCTGCACCTAAGAGACCTCAATCAGGACCAGGGCACTATTTTGCTAGGTGCTGTACAAACAAAAATATAATGAAGCAAGAGAAAAGAAGAAAGATTAAAAGAATCTGTTTCCAGTTAGAGTGCACTGGAAATAGTGAGTTCTTAAATTATTTTAAAAAATAGGAGCTAACCTAAAAGTTATTGTTGAACCAACTGTTAAGTGAACCAATATGTTTATATATATATATATAAAGAATGGGCTGTCGAGCGATTAAAAAATTAATCGCAATTAATCGCACTGTTAAACAAGAATAGAATACCATTTATTTAAATATTTTGGATGTTTTCTACATTTTCAAATATATTGATTTCAATTACAACACAGAATACAAAGTGTACAGTGCTCAGATTGTTTATTTTTGATTACAAGTATTTGCAATGTAAAAAAACCAAAAGAAATAGTATTTTTCTATTCACATAATACAAGTACAGTAGTGCAATCTCTTTATCATGAAAGTTGAACTTAAAAATATAGAATTATGGGGAAAAAAACTGCATTCAAAAATAAAACAATGTAAAATTTTAGATCTGCAAGTCTACTCAGTCCTACTTTTTGTTCAGCCAATCACTCAAACACGTGTGTTTACATTTGCAGGAGATAATGCTGCCCGCTTTTTGTTTACGTCACCTGAAAGTGAGACTAGGCATTCTCATGGCACTGTTGTAGCCGGCGTCACAAGATATTTAAGTGCCAGATGCACTAAGGATTCATATGTCCCGTCATGCTTCAACCAGCATTCCATGGGACATGTGTCCATGCTGATGACGGGTTCTGCTTAATAACGATCAAAAGCAGTTTGGACCAATGCACGTTCATTTTCATTATATGAGACAAATGCCACCAGCAGAAGGTTCTGACTTTCTGGTGACATTGTGAATAAGAAGAGGGCAGCATTATCTCCTGTAAATGTAAACTAACTTGTTTTTCTTAGCGATTGGCTGAACAAGAAGTAGGACTGAGTGGACTTATTGGCTCTGAAGTTTTACATTGTTTTGTTTTTGAGTGCAGTTATGAAAAAAAATCTACATTTCTAAGTTTCACTTTCATGACAAAGAGATTGCACTACAGTACTTGTATGAGGTGAATTGCAAAATACTATTTATTTTGTTTATCATTTTTACAGTGGAAATATTTGTAATAAAAATATACACTTTGATTTCAGTGACACCACAGAATACAATATATATGAAAATGTAGAAAAACATCCAAAATATTTAACAAATTTCAATTGGTATTCTATTGCTCAACAGTGTGATTTAAACCAGCCCTTATTTGTTACATATAATATATATATTTAAAAAATATTACCTTATACAAGCTCTGAAATTTTCTGATTCCCAGTGCCTTCTTATGGGACAACTGATTGGATTAGTTCTACTTTGTTTCACGTAATGTGGCTATCATAGAAATGCCTGCCCTCAGTGAAAGAGAAATTAACCCCATTCACTGAATGGAGATACCGAAATAACATAAAAAAATATTATATGTATATATATAACAAATCTCAAGTAATGTTATGTAGCAAATAGGTCTCTAAGGTCCTGATTCTGAAAACAATTGGGCCTCCCACATGCCAAAGGATTTACATGATGCTTCTCTTTGTATTAGAACTAGTCAGTGGACTTTTACTGTAACTAAACAAATTATTTGTTCATGGTGAACCGCAAATGGTTCAGAGGATCAGCGCACAAAAGCTCAAATGTTTATCCAAATTCTTGAATCCCTAAAAGTGAAAATCTCTTAAGAATATTTTTTGCAGTATTTCTAAAGCAATATTTGCATTGAATCTGCTTCCCACTGCTTTTTTGCATTGATTCTGCTTCTATACTAAATAGTTTGTCCAGTATTTCACCACATTTCATCAACATGTTATTAGCAGTCAGCTCTATGCTGGATTAATAAAAAAATAATAATATTTTTTCACTTTTCATACTTCGATAAATAAATGGCATTCTTAATTTTATCTCTCTTATTTTAGAAAATTCTCCTAACTGAAATTCCTCCTGTTTATGTAAAGCAACTGAAAAATTCAGAAAATGCCGTGGTAATGGAAAATGCTACACTGTCTTGGGAACGTCTGAATGAACACAGCAGAAAGAACAATAATGAAAACAGTATGAATGGGAAGAGTGCTTATAAATACCAGCCAAAACCAGAGCCTGTCCTTCCTCACTCTGAGACATCAATCAGAGAAACAGGAAAAGAGGGTAGTGCAGCAATTGCTTTATACAACTTAAGCTTTACTGTGAAGAAGGTAAGTTTGTCTTAAATATTCTTTCTAAAAAGAATATTTAACAAGCTGCCTGCAAGGATTTGGGTGCCCTGGTTCCCTTGCTATCTCTGCCTTGCACTGCCCTACTGAGCTAAGGAACAAAGATTTCAATTCTCCTTCTTTCCCCAGACACACACCTTTCCTTGCCCAGCACAGGCTTTCTAAAGCACCCATTAGCCCACGAATAAATTATTATTTGTACTGCAGTAGTGCCTAGGAGTCACAGTCATGGATCAGTATTCTATTGTTCTAGATACAAACACAGAATATGGTTTATAAAGTGCATATCTCAATACCAAACAATGACTGATTTTTATAAATAAATTGCATATTCAAGCCTTCATTTATCTACCAGTCACCAGAATAGAGAAGTTTTTTGTAAATTCCTTACATTAATGAAAAGGCTACAGCACTGTACACAGTAAAAACAAATTTACATCACTGCATTATTTAAAATGCCACTTATATAGGCTTCTATCAATCCAAATACAACACCTTTAACTTTGTCTTCTTGGGGGTAAAATATGCATTATGGCACTGATACAGGAAAGCACTTTATCTACATGCTTAACATTAAATGCTTAGGAGGTCTTCCTGAATAAGGATGCTTTCCTGAATTGGCAGGTGTGACAGGACATGAAATATCTGTGGCATGATCGTAGAACAGTAGGCAACGTGACATGAGAAATTTCTTACTTTACAAATATAGATCAACTATCTGCAAAATATGTCTCTTTGTAGGGAAAGATCTTGGGAATTTGTGGAAATGTTGGAAGCGGAAAGAGCTCAGTCATATCAGCTATTCTAGGACAGGTACGCTAATCACTGTAGAATAACTTCCATAATTATTTTTTATTTTCCTTTTGCATGAGAAATACATATTTAATTGAATGTTTTGGTACTGTTTGTTCTAGTACTGGGGCTGTCAATTACTCACAGTTAGCTCATGTGATTAACTCAAAAAAATTATTCACGATTAATCGCAGTTTTAATTGCACTGTTAAACAATAGAATACCAATTGAAATGTATATAATATTTTGGATGTTTTTCTACATTTTCATATATATTGTTTTCTGTGTTGTAACTGAAATCAAAGTGTATATTATTTTTTATTACAAATATTTCCAGTGTAAAAATGATAAATGAAAGAAATAGTATTTTGTAATTCACCTCAGACAAGTACTGTAGTGCAACCTCTGTCATGAAAGTACAACTTACAAATGTAGATTTTTTTGTTACATAACTGCACTCAAAAACAAAACAATGTAAAATTTCAGAGCTTACAAATCCACTCAGTCCTACTTCTTGTTCAGCCAATCGCTAAGAAAAACAAGTTAGTTTACATTTACAGGAGATAATGCTGCCCTCTTCTTATTTACAATGTCACCAGAAAGTCAGAACAGGCATTTTCATGGCACTTTTGTAGCTGGCATTGCAAGGTATTTACATGCCAGATATGTTAAACATTCATATACCCCTTCATACTTTTGCCACCATTCCAGAGGACATGCACCCATGCTGATGAGGTGCGTTAAAAAAAAATCTGTTAATTAAATTTGTGACTGAACTCCTTGGGGAGAATTGTATGTCCCCTGCTCGGTTTTACCCGCATTCTGCCATAGATTTCATGTTATAGCAGTCTCAAATGATGACCCAGCACATGAAGAACACTTGCACTGCAGATTTGACAAAACGCAAAGGAGGTACCAATGTGAGATTTCTAAAGATAATTACAGCACTTGATCCAAGGTTTAAGAATCTAAAGTGCCTTCCAAAATCTGAGAGGGACGAGGTGTGGAGCATGCTTTCAGAAGTCTTAAAAGAGCAACACTCCGATGCAGAAACTACAGAACCTGACCCACCATGCATGTCCCATGGAATGCTGGTTGAAGCATGAAGGGACATATGAATCTTTAGCGTATCTGGCACGTAAATATCTTGCGACACTGGCTACAACAGTGCCATGCGAACTCCTGTTCTCACTTTCAGGTGACATTGTAAACAAGAAACAGGCAGCATTATCTCTCGCAAATGTAAACAAACCTGTTTGTCTGAGTGATTGGCTGAACAAGAAGTAGGACTGAGTGGACTTGCAGGCTCTAAAATATTACATTGTTTTATTTTTGAATGCAGGTTTTTTTACATAAAAATTCTACATTTGTAAGTTCAACTTTAATGCTAAAGAGATTGCACTACAGTGCTTGTATTAGGTGAATTGAAAAATACTATTTTAGTAATACATCCAAAAATATTTAAATAAATGGTATTCTATTATTGTTTAACTGTGCGATTAATCGCGCAATTGATTTTTTTGATCATGTGATTGATTGCGATTGATTTTTTAAATTGCTTGACAGCCCTATCTAGTACATTGGTTTTGTTAGCTATTTTGAAAAAGGCTGGCGCTGACTCTTAGGTTCTGAAACTATGTTGGCTGAGTTTCTCTTAAGCTGCTTTTGGATGAAGTATTCAGTTATGTATCTGAACGTAACTACTGCTTGTCCTTTAGGTATGTGACATTAAGGAATGTGTGTTGGGATCAGAGTTTTCTTTTGATCTTTAGGGCCAAGAAAGAGAAACTGAGCAAATTAATAACCACCCTCAAAAGATGAAAGACTGATGTGGGGGTCTCAACATGAGAATAAGAAATTCATGTTATGGCTAAGATTTGCAAATATAGGAACCTAAAGTTAGGCACCCAAATAAATGGGCTGATTTTTAAAAGTGACAAGCACTCACTAACTCTCACCAATACAGCTGGCCAGAATGGATTTTCAGTTCCATACAGAATTACAAGGTTTTGGAAAAATTTTCATCCCGGATTGGGATGAAAATCCAAAAACTTCAAATTTTTCACAGATCTGGAAATCTGCAATATTTAGTTTCAGATGCCCCAAAACATGCCTGAAACAAAATAAGTTCCCTGGGCTCCCAGGCTCCACAGTTGCTCACTTGGCAGTCGGCCAAGGAAGCCCTGGCAGGCTGCTGAGGAATCAGGGTTAACTGAGGAGCCTAGATTCCCCAGCAGCCCACCAGCTGGGATCCTGAGGACCCTGGGAATTGGGCAGGGAGATAGGAAATCAGGTAAGTTTCCATTGGAAATCTGCCTGGTTTCCATCAAAATTTCATTGGAATCATGTTACTGTGGAATATTCTGGTTTTGACAAATTAGCATTTTCCACAGGAAAAGGGTTCTGTTGGAAAATTTCTGACCAGATCTACTCATTTATTCTAACCCTGCCCTACACAGGAGAGAAACTCCTCAAAGTTCAAGAACAATTCACACAATGGTAACTATGGCCACTCGCAGTTATTTTGTCACTCACTTAGCCCTCCACTTCTCAGCTATTCCTGAAAAGGACCAGGGAGGTAAAAAGGGCACCATAGAGGAATGGTTACAAGAGCTTTTGGGTGAATGGCCAAAAGAACTGCGGGTCCTTCTTAAGTCATGTTCTAGATACCTGTTATTTATACAGTGAAGAATTACACTCATAACACATTAGCAAAATGACCATCCTTGCTGATTGTCCAGTATTTTGAGTCAGGTTATAATGATGATTAGAAGACCTCTATACATTTTTTTTTTAATTGTACAATCTGTTTGTTTCAGATGTACTTGTATGATGGGACAGTAGGTATTGATGGAACATTAGCTTATGTGTCACAACAAGCATGGATATTTCATGGAAATGTTAGGCAGAATATATTATTTGGAGAAGAATACAATGAAGAAAGGTAATTATTGAACTATTGAAATCTTACCAATACTTATTTACTCTAAGGATAAACTTCCATATTTGACAGATGAGCTTACATACTTGTACACACACACACACACACACACACACACACACACACACACGTCTTCTATTGTATGTTCCCTTTTGTGACTAGGGCCCAAAGACTCTGAACATGCGGTTTCCCTCACTCTACTTGATCCCATGACTAACGAGGAGGAGAGGGTATTATTTGACTTTCACCATTGCCTTTATTCTGGTTCATTTCCGTTAGAACACCTATAATTAATCATGGCCCCACACATAAGTACACCACGGGAGATCGCACCTCTGAGTTCCAATGCTCCTATCCACACCCAATGAAACTCTGTACTTTGCTGCAACCATCAATGCCAAATATTATCTTCCAAGACATTAACTCCACAACCAACATTCTCAGTCACAAGATATATAGTATCACCTCTTTGATGCTCCCAGCCTCAGTTAGCTTTAGAACTAAAACTTCCAGGTCTCTCTCATATATGGACTTCAGATATTGCCAATTGAAGGATCAGGCTAGTCAGTTATTTTAATTATTTTTTATATCTCAAAAGGCAAATGGACTATTTAAAAAGTTATTTTAAATTAATGTTAGGCTATAAATGGCCATTACTTTCTTTGTGCTGACCTAGACTGCTGGATATTTTCATTTTTCAGGACTGGTATTCACAGATTATAATGATGATTAAATCATCACTTTACTCCTGTTGTCATGTACCATGTGTTCAAATTTCAGCTTCAATAGCATGTGACTAAAACTCAGAAGAAAATACGTGTGTTAAATTTGCCATAAGCTAAATAACAGAAATATCCCCAGAAATCAAAAGCAGCAGTTCATAAGTTCTCATATTATTAACTGATGCAGTGCAGTCAGTGTATATTGCATTTAGTTTTGTGAGACTATGTAAAAGGTTTTTTTTTAATTAGTTATAAACAACTAGGAAATGTATGGAATTCACTTTCTCCATTGGTGTTGAGTCTTTGCTCTCTACGCAACATTAAGACTAAGAGGAAACCACAAGGGCAGAGTGGGGGTCCATATAATTATATTTACTACCTATAATCAAACATGCAAGGCCTAGTACATATATATGCTGCTGATGTGTTAGGTGTCTCCTGCAGTAGAAGACAGGCAGGTCCACTAGGCTCCCCCCTCCCCCAACTATTTAAGGGGATACCAACCAATTGGTCTGTCAGTATTATTCTGTTTATCTTCAGGACATGGTGTAAAGCTCATCTAGTTACTTAGGCCCAGATTTTAAAAGATATTTTGGCACTGCTGCACTCTACCTTGCAAGGCCCTAAATGATTCCATTCACAAAGTCAATTGGACTTAGGCTCCAAAGTGCCTAATGGCCAGTTTTTTTAAGGTATTTAGGTACCTAAAGATGCAGATAGATGCCAAGTAGGATTTTCAAAAGCACCTAACTGCCTAACTTCCATTGAAATCATGCCTGGCCTAGACACTTTTGAAAATGGAACTTAGACCCCACAATGGTGAGCAGAGCAATACCTAAATACCTTTAAAAATCTGGGCCTCAGGACTCATTTGTGCCTTAAAGGCACAGCTCTTCCCGGCATGAGTGGGAGGTGCACCATTCCAGGGGAAGCACTAGGAAACATTCTGCCTTAGTGAAGTAGAATGCCTTCTAGCACTTCTGATGTGCAAGGGGAATACACCCTTCTGTGAGTGCAGCATATTCCCCAGTACCCACTGGGTCCTACACTATGAGCTCGTGATATGGGCAAGGTCAAGTTTTCACCTCTTTTTTCAGGGCCGACCCACAACATTTTGGCACCTGAGGAAGGGAGCTCAAATGACGGCCCCATGCCCCCTCGCTTGGGCCAAAACTTTGAAAAGTCTCAATTCTGCCTTCTTCCTGTTCTACTCCTCTCATGGTACTGCTCTGCTACCTACCCCAACAGAGGAGAACTAACAACTTAAAATGCCTTGTTCAAAAATTTTAAGTAACACTTAACTTTCAAATGCCTGAACAGCAAATGGAACTTTTCTTGTCTGCATTGTAAAGACTGGCATTTTTATCTGTTTGAATAATCAAAGTGGTGCTTTCCGTGCCTTCTTGGTTGCAAAGATTTGAACTGCTTCCTGAAGGTCCACAGTCTGGGCCAGCTCATGCTCTACTGAGATGGTTGCAAGGCCGACCAGCCTCTCCTGTGTCATTGTGGAGCGTAGATGTGTTTTTATTAACATTAGCTTGGAGAAGCTGCGTTCTCCACTGGCAACTATTACAGGAAGTGTTAGAAGTATGCGCAGAGCAACAAAAGCATTTGGAAAGAGGGTGGTCATCTTATTTGTGCACATACATTTCAGCAGGATCAACTCCAAAGGCTGTTCTGGAATGTATCTTGAAAGGCCTTTTAGTTCATCACCTAAATCACTCGCATCAATATCGCGCATGTCATCATGTGTCAACACTGCCTCTAGTGCCCTGCATTGCTGGTGTAGCTCTTCTTCAGGTATAGTGAGGAGTTTTGGAATATCATACAACATCCCAAATATACTGCTGTGTTCCTTGAGCTGCATGAAACATTCTTCAACTGACTGTATTGCACAATCTAGCACCTGGTTAAAGAATTCAACTTTGAATTGTTGTTTGGGGTCTTATATGGGATTATCCCGTGCCTCGTAATCAAAATGTCTTCTTCTTCGGTGACTCTTGTATTCTTGAATGGGTGGGAAAAAGGCTTCAGTGTGAAGTTCCTCTGCCAACTTCTGTGCACTCTTCAGAATGTTTTAAATCCCTCATCTGACCGGTAAGACTGTAGGTATGACTTTGCTTTGTCCAGTTGTTCCATTGCTCCAGATATATCAAGGTCAACACCTTGGACTCTCTTGCTTACAACATTTATTTCAAACAGTATGTCATGCCACAACACTAAGCCACAAAGAAATTTGAAGTTATTTATGTTTCTGGTGATTCCATTTCCCTCTGCCACTGTTCTCCCATGAACAGTTCCTGTCATAGATGTTGCCCTAGTTGCCATTCTGGAGGATAATGCTATCTTCCCAATTTGGTGTTTGATAGGCTTTATCGCCTCCACTCAACTTTCCCATCATGTGGCACTCAGTGGTTTCAGTGTCAGAGAGGATGTTCCCAGATGTTGCTTCAAAATTTGCCATCGATGAGTTGATGCAGAGAAAAATACATAAATGCTTTGAATTACATTAAAAAATTCAGCAGCCTCACTAGAAGCTGATGCTGCATCACTCACCACCAAGTTCAATGAATGAGAACTGCATGGGACAAAAGAAGTTTGAGGGTTTAACTCTCAGATCCATGTCTCCACTCCTCTGTTCTTTCCTCTCATGTTGGCACCATTATCGTAGCCCTGACCTCTCATGTCAGCTATCGCAATTCCCATATCTTCCAGCTTTTTAAGAAGCACATTTGTCATACCAGCCCTGAAGTATCATCAATGTCAATAAATTCTAGAAAATGCTCTCTGACAGTCACCATTGCAGGGACATTTTCACTAGGTTCTGTTGTTGTTACAAAACGCACCATTAAAGTCATTTGTTCCGTATAGCTGATGTCAGGTGTGCAGTCCAGAATAACAGAGTAATATCTTGCTGACTTCAGATCTGCCACAATCTTCTGTTTGACTTTTGTTGCCAGTAACTGTATGATCTCATTTTGAATTGTTTTTCCAAGGTAGTGGTGTGTGTACATTTCTTGGGTGGTGACTCTTCTTAGATGCTCCTGGAGTACAGCATCAAACTCGGCCATCAGCTCCACAATTTTAAGGAAAAGTTTGGCCAATGTACATAGCAGAGGGGCATTGCTGGCACATGATGGCATATATAACATTGGTGGACGTGCAGGTGAATGAACCGGTGATGTTGTAGCTGATCTGGTTAGGTCCTGTGATGGTGTTGCTGGTGTAGATATGTGGGCAGAGTTGGCATCGAGGTTTGTTGCATGGATTGGTTCCTGAGTTAGAGTTGTTATGGTGCGGTGTGTGGTTGCTGGTGAGAATATGCTTAAGGTTGGCAGGTTGTCTGTGGGCGAGGACTGGCCTGCCTCCCAAGGTCTGTGAAAGTGAGGGATCATTGTCCAGGATGGGTTGTAGATCACTGATGATGCGTTGGAGAGGTTTAAGCTGAGGACTGTAGGTGATGGCCAGTGGAGTTCTGTTGGTTTCTTTCTTGGGCTTGTCTTGTAGCAGGAGGCTTCTGGGTACACATTTGGCTCTGTTGATTTGTTTCCTTATTTCCTTGTGTGGGTATCGTAGTTTTGAGAATGCTTGGTGAAGATCTTCTAGGTGTTGGTCTCTGTCTGAGGGGTTGGGGCAGATACGGTTGTACCTCAGTGCTTGGCTGTAGACGATGGATCGTGTGGTGTGTCCAGGGTGGAAGCTGGAGGCATGAAGGTAGGCATAGCGGTCGGTGGGTTTTCGGTATAGCGGTGGGTGTCGGTATAGCGTCACTTATTTGTACTGTGGGGTCTAGGAAGTGGACCTCCTGTGTAGATTGGTCCAGGCTGAGGTTGATGGTGGGGTGGAAGCTGTTGAAATCGTGGTGGAATTCTTCCAGAGTCTCCTTCCCATGGGTCCAAATGATGAAGATGTCATCAATGTAGCGTAGGTAGAGGAGGGGCGTGAGTGGACGAGAGCTGAGGAAGCGTTGTTCCATAAAAGGTCAGCCATAAAAATGTTGGCATATTGTGGGGCCATGCGGGTGCCCATGGCGGTGCCACTGGTCTGGAGGTATATATTGTCACCAAATTTGAAATAATTGTGCGTGAGGATAAAGTCACAGAGCAACAAGTTGTGCTGTGTCATCATCAGGGATGCTGCTCCTGACAGCTTGTATTCCATCTGTGTGTGGGATGTTTGTGTAGAAAGCCTCCACATCCGGGGTGGAAGCTGGAGGCATGAAGGTAGGCATAGTGGTCAGTGGGTTTTCGGTATAGGGTGGTGTTAACGTGACCATCACTTATTTGTACTGTGGGGTCTAGGAAGTGGAACTTTTAAGGAAGTTTCCGTTGTTTGGCACATACAGCTGATCTGAAGTGCCACGCAGTGCTAGGGTTTTGGGTAGCAAGCAATGAGCCTTTTCAGAACATTTTGCCAGTTAAGAGAGACTGATGCAATCTTCTCTTGATGCTGATCATCTATGGTGGCCTTTAACCTTAGTCTCATCTCAAGCTTTTTCCACCTATGGAATGCTCTCTGGTGATTTGCTGCCTTCTCATGGCATGCCAGATTTCTAGCCAGATTTTACAGTCCTTTGTTCCTGTAGAACCCAATGTGGCTGGAACAGTTTGCAACAAAAACAGTATGCAGCATTCTGGGTTTTTGAGTACATAAGCCATGGCCTCTCCACTTTGTCACCATTGGGGATTTCACACCAGTAATGTGTTGGATGGAAACTTCTATTTTCATTGTCCTTGGGGAACATGAAGTTTTTCACTTGCTGTGGCCCATGCAGTAGAAGGAAGTCCCTCAGGCTACTGCTCAAGTGGGTCCACAGTCCTGGATCATCTAGACTTAAGGAACTAAACTCAGCAGCAGCTGTTTCTTGCGCCTCCACCACACTCTTCTTTGATCTACACTTTTCTTCAGGAATATGCATGGTTACATCCATTTGAGATGGAGATATGGATGGTGCAGTAGCTGCCAGGTCACCTGCACTCTGACTAACTGGAAGATCAGGCATCTCCTCACCACTCACATCCTCACTGGGGCCGAAAGGCTCACCGTGAACATTTGTGTCTATGTATCTCAGGAGAGCTCCTTCCTGCTTAGATAGAAAAGCTTCCTTTGCTTTCTTTCTTTTTCTGAATGCTGCCCCAGAGGGGCGTTTTCTTCTTTCACTCATGACTGCTGTTCTGTGCCAGCTATAGTGGCTCTCAACACTGAATTGAAGGAGACAAATAAGCAGGCTGGTAGCAGGGCCTGAGTGAGGGAAGATATCAGCGTCTTAAGGGCCTAACTGGCTCCTATTACTTCAGTTGACTGCCTGTTCTCCTCAAATGGGTTCAGGGAAGCAGCAGGAAACAGGAAGCTCCCTGAGAAGCTGGTGTTATTCAGTCCAGGCTCCTGGGGGTGCTAGAGAGGTACATAAGAGGCTTCTCCCCTCTCTCTCCCTGCAGTCCTGCTGCTTTCTGTTATTCCCTCTCACCTTTTCTCCTCCCTGCCTGTTATGTCTCTTGTGCCCTCCTTCCTCCAGCACAGCACTCCACCATCTCTGTGCATCTAGAGCAGAGAGAATACATATGCACCAGCAGCAGACACAATTTTCTACACTCAGGGTCCTAGTGACACCACCCCACAGTCTGGCACCTGAGGCGGCTGCCTCAGTTCGCCTCATGGTAAGGCCAGCCCTGTCTTTTTCTACTCCCTAGGGAGGAAGCAGTCCCTATGTTCTTCTGGCTTTGGACTGAGACTGCAGGGAAATGGGTTTTATTTTAGTTCATGTAGTGTGACACTGCCATATATATGTTGTGCTTTGTACATAGACTTAGAACACATTGAATATGCCTACCAAGGTGCACACCCCCCTCTCTTTTTACAGCCACATGGGCTGCACATGTCCTTCCCTTTCTGGTCATGCAGGCTGCAGAAACCCTTCTGTGTCCTTGCAGTTTCGCTCACCAGCCTGGGGAATCATCAGCCATGCCCAAATCAGCTTTTAGCCCTTCCCTCCTGGTTCCATTTTTTTGTCCAAACAAGTCACAAAAGGAAAACAAAACTTCCAGCTGGGGCTTTCTACCCAACCACAATTAGCAGAGCTTCCCCCCGGGAATATCCCTTCTTCTGGGACTACTGTAGTAGGCTGTCCCTTCCTGCAGATTCTCTCAGCTGTCCCACTGTTTTGCAGCTCTTTAATAGGGAACATCTATTTCCTTCACAGCTGCATTTGAATAGTGAACATGGCTGGCTGCCCCAGGCCTCTGGCCCTTAAAGTGGCAGGACAACCTGTTACACACCTGATGCACATGCCTCTCTCCTTTATATTCACATGGGCCACACATATCACACAGCAGGTCACTTTAATATGCGAGAGGAGGCTTTTAAAATCCAAAATGGGAACAAATTAACTAAATTAGGAGACTTCAAACCAAAGAAATATGGAAAAATGTAGAAAATAAAGAGCTCCTGTAAATATTCATAAACTTTCCTCTGCATTCCTGCTACTTATCAATGCAGCATTGCATAAAACCAGCAAGTTCCCGTCCCTAAGTACTAACAAAAGCTACCTTTGTATTGCTAATAACTCTAGTTCCAACCTTGTTCAGCCATACTTTTATGGACAATAGATAAAAAATAAGCACAGGGATTCTCTTTTTAAAAAAAGGACTTGTTCCAGTGTCTAACCTGCCAAATCTGGCTAGATGCTGGTGAGCAGCCATGCTTGTCAGATGTTCATTTTGCTCAATACCTGCTATTGTCTTCAACCTGCCAATTCGTGAAGTTGAGCCATGTGGGAAATGGAATGAATTTGCCTGTCTATAAATTTCAGATAAATGTTTCCGTTAGACATCCCAGACATATGGTTTGTATTTAAAAATTCAAGAAGTGAATTTCCTTAAATAGTTTAGTAGCTATTTTATCAAAACATATAGACATAGGAATATCAGAAAAAGACATTTAATAGCCATTTCTTATGGTATTCATATATTACAGCAATTTTTGAAGCAGCATATCAAATTCTATGGTTCTTCTTAAACTCCATTTACCAGTTCCTGAAAATGGCTCCAAAGAATACTGGTTTTAGATTATGAAGAGTTACATGTAGTTAAAAGGCAATAAGTATTCTAAGAATATACACAAATTAAACAAAAAAACCTTCTTTTACCATTAGTTTAGGTCAGTCATCAATAAACTAAACAATAAAATCATTAACAAGTACAGGGTTAAAGACTAAATAGGATTAAAAGATTATGAAAGTTTGGAAATGCCAGATCGATTGTTGCCCATGCAACCTTTAATTCGGCCCCCTGTACTATTTAAGTAAAGCACTTGCATATTAGCTTTCTTCAATATATATCTGGTTGCCATTCTTATCTTTGTGAAGTTCCATATTTCAACACTCAATGCCATGTTGACCAATATACTGAAAGGAATTAAATTAAACTGTAGTCAGAACATGTTTTTTGGTAATTAAACTTCAGTTTTACTACAACTTCTAAATGACTTTTTTAAATTGTCTGACAGTGAAAACTGAGTAGGGATTCAGACCTATAATTTCCCATGTTTTTAAAAAAGCTGGAGGTATTCATAAAGTCTCAACCTCCAATTTGAAAGAAGCATGTAAACAATATGCATGAAAAGTAATTTTGTATCTGAGAAAAGTAACAATTACCCTTTGAAAATAAACAGTGTAACTTGCCACAGGACAAGTCCAAAAGAGCACAGTCAGCCTTCATTCCAGTTCCTCCTGGGCTCCTTCACTGTAATAATGTCATGGTTGTCTGAGGTAAATCAGTTATCACAGGCAGCAATTGCCATGACAACCAAGGCACTAGTGACTCTCCTCAAGTATGCAACTGAACTGGAGGGAGTGAGTGATGGATGTCTGATTACCGCTGATGTCACAATGTTACCGCTCAGGCACCATCAGGGTGCAGCAAATGTGCACTACGTAGGGAAGAAAAACAGGGTTTCTGGTGTTTGTTTCCCCAAATTTCCTAAGAAACCAGCATACAAACACAAAATACAAATTGGAGATCGTTTCACAAACATATGAATTAGTAGCTGAAATTTGGTTCAAATTCCCCATGGCATGTTTACAATAAAGGGTTCTGAAAAAAGGTGAGACGGTGAGGTATCGGCCCTGTAAAACAACATTGGGATGCAACAACTGCAAGACCTTAATACAGTAGGTATTTTCTTCCAGGAGAACTAGAAGATTCTGAACATATAGCCACTACATAAATTTGGTAGGAACTAAATAATGTTTTATAAGGCATTTGGTGCAACTGATATGGACTACTGCTCACGGAAACAGGGCTGATAAATGAAATGTTAGTCATTCTTTGCAAAATATGGAATAAAAGAAGAGCATAAGATTAATATTTGCAATATAATCTTACAGTAGTAAAAGAACAATTTCTTTTAATATCTGAGACCAGTTCTGGTAGGTAGACACCTAGCCCATCCGCTCCAGAAAGAAGAAGAAATTTTGCATGTGTAGATTGTATATAAGATTGCACTTTATCCTTCTTGTTTTACAGTACAAAGTTTTAAACATTCAGAACCTGTCTTTCATTTACACTAAGGCCCCTTTACACTGCAGTGTAAAGGTGCCCTAATGTGGCCATCAATGCAAACTTATGCCCTTTTAGACTGTAAACTCTTCAGGGCAGGGACCATGTCCTTATTATGTTTGTACACAGCTGAGCACAATGGGGTAGAGCCTCTGGGTGCCACACAGTTCAAATACATTATAATACTACTAATAAAGTAAGGCCTCTTTACACTGACGAAGTGGTGTAAAAACTCTTTAATGTAAATGAGAATCAGGTTCAGTATTTGGTTGGTCAAAAGGCTCAACCTATAGCAAGCAACTGTGATTCAGGGTTGAGAAATCCAAAATAATCTCAAATCTAATCTCAAATTCCTACATTTTTGGATTTGTATGTGAGGCTGGGATTGCAGAGTTGATGCTCTTGGTCTCAATTGGAGGTTGTAGAGTACAATACTGTATATCTGCTCATATGATGATATTGTATAAGAATTTCAAAGGCAACTGTGTCACAGTATGATATAACTGTAACTTGTACACACAGAAAACAGGGGGGAAAGGGCTGGATCTGAATGAATGAATGATAGCCATGGTCACTGAATTATGGTTCAAATCAATGTATTTGCAACAAAGATGCTAGGGTAATTCAAAATGCATGAGATTTTGTGCTGAAGAAAATAATAGATTTTTAGAAATTAAACAATTCTGAACATTCATTCTTTAGGTACAATTATGCAATCCATGTGTGCAGTCTGAAGTCAGATATGGAAACTCTTCCTTATGGAGATTTAACTGAAGTAAGTATCATTATGCAATCTAGTAAAATATTGGCATATATTATGGAGAGCTGTTAAACTCTCCATAGAAAAAAAGTTGACAATAGAGTCCCATTATGTCCAATTTTCAACCCACTTTCACTCTGATTTACACACACGCCAAAAAAATTTCACATTCCACACCAAATCCCAGGCTAGATTTTTTCCCCTGGACATTTGTTTTAAAGTTTTAGAGAAAGGGGATTTCAAAATATTTTTAAAAAACTTATTTCTAGTTCTATGGTTGCACAAAAGAAATTTTACAAATATGAACTGAATGTAAATCATGCAGCATGGACTTTCTAAGATTGCAGACAAGCTGAATACATCTTGGTAGTGTGATTATCCCACAACCCAAAGCTTACGGCCCCACTTTCCTAGGAGTAAAAAAATATTCTAATTGAGCCCCATCAAACTGCCAAGCTCCTATCCAGCTTCCTCCAACAGCTTCTACAAAGTAGTTCTGTGTTGTCAATTCAAAAATCTGCAACATACTGAAAACTGAAAATGTGGGGGCTGCATAAACTATTTTTATTTATTAAACTTTTTCATTTTTTTTATAACAAACCAAACAAGTTCTAGGTGCCAACATATAAAACACGTACAAAAGTATTATGCATCACAAAAGAGAAAATACCCCACAGTACTCATATTCCCACATATTAACTGCACTATTCCTAGCACACAAATTTTATGGCCCATATGAAAGCAGAAAAGAGACAAAGAGCAAAGGGGACAGGGAAGGATTATGGATTTATCTCCCGCCTCTTTTCATCCAGACCAGCATAAAATAAATGAATTTAATATAAAAATAAATACAGGGGCCACTGTATTCTTTGTATTATTCATATTTGCTTAAATAAAACCCTGTATTTTTAATGTTTAAATGAAGCTGCCACAGAAGTTCCAGTCTGTGACACCAGAGTGCTTCTGCATAATCCAGAGATCCAGTTTGCCACAGAGTATACAGGGTGATTGGCAGCAGTAATAGCCTATCTATCTGCTACCATTATATGCATACATATTCCTACTACCTGGGTGAGGAGCACTCTCAACTATCAACCATGCTATCTAGGTGTTGCTCTTGCGGCCTAAACTAAAGCCTGCTGAAGTCAATTGAAAAACTCACCTTGACCTCATCAGGATTTGAATCTGGCCCTAATCTTCAAGAAAGCCTTAATGGACATAAAATAATGTTATGCTTCTGCTTAAAGAAAAGAAAAGAAATAAAAACCCAAGTGACATCTATTTTTTATTAAATGAAAAAAATCAAAGTTGTGTTATAGGAGAAATATCTGTTTTATGTAAACATTCTTAACAGCTGACATAACCCTGAAAAGCATCCTCCAGCAGAAAAAAGAATGACTGATAATTCATTGTATGTATTTATTTTACAGATTTCTACTGTGGTAGTTCTATAATTCAATGCAATAACACCCACCTCTTCAAATACTTTCAATAGTTTGTCTGTGTGGTTTCTAGACTTCCTGTACTGGATCTGTTACCAAGGCTAAAAGATATCTTCTTTGTAGAACATTCTCAGAGCACAATGGCCCCAAAAATATTACAATTCACCTATTACTGTTTGTCAACTATCCTGTCAAGCATTATTTGTTAGTGGGCCTTAGAGTCCTTTTTATGTTGTCTTCATCAATTGCAGGTCACATTTGTGACAGATTATTCCCAAAATGGGTGAGAATTTACTACTCAGAGCCTTTCGTAACATATCTCTTGTACACTATCCTCTGGAGATGAAGTTGTATATAAATATCTGTGCACCTAGCTCTCAAGTCCTGTAAGGAAAATGGGTTCATGTCCTCACAGACAAGGAAACAAAGACATACTAGCTGAACGAACATAGAAGGGTTCACTCCAGGTCTTTAAATATACAAAGAAGCCATTATCTTCTGGAAACAGATTTGGGAGAATGGTAGTATTCCCTGAGCTATTTCACTGCAGAGACAATGTTCCTGTGCATCTCTGTAATTACTGTTTGCCAGTCATTTATAACTGATTCCCGACTCAACTGTGTAAACTGAAGTCAATGGAGCTATATCAAGTTACAGCAACTGAGACTCTGACCCTGAATGTTTAGATCAATATTTCTCAACTGGTGAGTTGCAACACCCAGGAGGGTCATGGAAAGCAATTAGGAGGGTCACAAGGCATTGAAATTTTTATTACAATCTAAAACAAAGAAAACCTCTCATCCCTACTCGCTATACACCTTTACACTTCAAGGTCAAGTATTCGCTGTCAACCTCCTGAAATACACACACAAATAAATTATATAAGCTTATAGTTGATATTTAAAAATAAAACTTACTTTTATCAAAAATGTAAGGGGCTCGTGAAAATCTTGACTTCAAATAAGGGGTTGCCAACCTGAAAAAGTTAAGAAATAAGGTTTAGATAACACAGATTTCCTTTCTGCAATGAAAGCTTCCCTCCTTATCTCTCTTTCGTCAGTCACTTTTCTAAAATGTTCTTGTTTTGGTCCATAAAACTAATACTGATAGTATTGACGATCAAAAAATTGTAATAGTTTAACTGATGGATTTTGCATTTTCTTCTGTTTGCTTGCTATCTGGGAACAGATCATGAAATTTTCAAATGTATTCATTATTTGAAATTAGTCACAATTGTCTTGGTCTGCAAATTACAGTTTGCAGTCTTATCTGCAGATTCAAAATACAAACTGCAAATATTACAAAAACTGCACAAATTGTGAATTGTGTGTTCAACAGATATAGCTAACTCAACTTACCAATTAGCCAAACAGCATGGATTTCAAGTTGTATAATTGATTAATATTCACAGTTTACACTGTTCTGATTAGTCACTGACGTGATCCAATCAGGGAACAGAAACAGTACCACCTAACCTCATTCACCTTCTCCTCCTTCTTTGGCTCTGAACTGCTTGACACCTTAAAAATTTCTTTTATAAGCTGCTGTAGAAAGTTTCTTTATATGTATGTCTTAGTGGGACTCACATGATTGCACCTTGCACTTGTATTTCAGGGTCAAGAAAGGCATAGGTTCAAGTTCCACATCAAGATTTGGGTTCACGCTAACATTAATGCTCTCATGCAGTGTTGAGGCTAGAGTATTGTTAAAGGTGGGGACCTTGAGATTGTGTTAAATCGTATTCCTTTTTCCATATCTGGTGGCTGTTCCTGTGGCACCTTTTAAAAAGTAAAAGGTAACTCTACTGATCCAGCTAACTGTCAGTGAAACAGATTCAAACTGTGTATGAGGTATTATTAAGTGTACAATGGTTGTCATATTTGCCTAACCACTGCACTATCAGTATCTGATCCATTACTGTAAAGTGCTTTGATATACCTTGTATTTGAAAGGTACTAATTAAAATTAAGATACTATGTTGCAATTTCTTATCAGAACCTCCTGTTATTCTTTTCCATATAAAGTGGTCCTGTGGTATCTTTGGACTACTACACAGAGAGGTTCATCAGTTTAATGCTCCTTCCTGTCAGAATTCATTCCACTAGAGGAATGCCTGACCCTTCTAGGAATTTTCATTTAATCGATTCCTGGACCTAACAGGGTGAAGGATCAGAGAACTAAAGTTATTAGAAAGTAGAAATGGGTACACTCCACGAAGTTTAGATCTGGCTTCAGTGGGGAAATTCACAAGATTCAGGGTCACTTGAGTCCAGGTAACACCCATCTTTACTAGAGAATTATCTTTACTGTAATCATAATTTTACTGACACTGTGTGGTCTTCCCTTTTTAGGGCTACTAGTCCTCTTCTTCCCCTTTCTATGTCTCTCATCTTTCACTCAACCCTTTTATCTGAACAAGCTGGCGAGAATTAAGTGGATGCAATGCTAAACTCATTTAAAGCTGCCCTTTTTATTATCTGTTTTGCATTCTATCATACTACATGCCTCTCTGAGTTGACATTAAATATTTCAACCTAATTTTAAGGGTGCTGCAATCATTTGATTCAACAATGCTTTCCTCATGGTCTGGCCAGCTTGTTAGTTTAATTTTTTTTATTAAAAACTTAACTAGGAACATAAAGCATATTCCAATTTAAGGCTCAGTTGTGTTTTTAAATCAATGACCCACTTTCTGGTTGGCTTAAAGCTGTTTGGCACAGCAGGAAGTTCCGGAGGCACTGGGCTTTAGGGGGAATGCACCTACAATTACAACCCTTTAAAGCCTATTTGTTCTTTTTATAGCATATTGATATTTTGTTGCAATGAGGTTAGATTTTTAATTAGCTCTTCTGTAATAATAACTATCACAGTAATTTTAATAATTTTAACCAAAAACTTGTTGGAAGAGTCTGGTCCTTTTTTCAGAACTAAAGAACAAGTCAGCTTCTATTTATGGACCTGATCTTACATGCCATCTGTGTACAGAACTACTTTTGAGGTCTATAGAATTTCTGCATGCAAAGATTTTAGAAGAGCGGGTGTCAATTGATTTTGGGTCCTCAACTTGAAAAACGTAGGGTCTGATTTTTTAGAATGCTTCGCATTTTATGGTACTTTATATGTTCAGAGCAGAGCTCCCATTGACGTTAGTTGTAGTGGTGAGCATTGAGCATTTCTGCAAATCAGATCACAGAAGTCTCACATTGGGTACTGAGAATATGAGGAACACAGTGATCACCTGTTAAAATTTTCGTTTACATGACCTGCCTTTCATCACATAGGAAATCTGTGGCAGAGGCAGGGATAGAATAAAATTTTCCAGGATGGTATTTAGCTGCTTTAACCACAAGACAATCCTTTCTCATTAATTACACACCTTCCAAGAACTGCAACAAATGAAGCAGAAATCCTACAGACAGCAGTGGCAGGGGAAATCAATAAGTTAGGCAGAGGTCCTGTGGAAGAAATAGGATGTGATCATGTAGTTAAAGACGATCATGAAGCACGTGCACAAGGAGGATGAACGAAGGTTGCACAGGCAACCTGAATTCTGGCATTCCCTACCATTTGAGAGGATGACTTTGCAATCTTCACATTCTTTTAATTATGTTTTTAGATGTAGTTTCCTAAATTTCTTTAAAAACTTAAAAACTGAAACAGTAAATATTTATTCATATGGAACCTTATTGAGCCTGTGCCCATCCCTGTGGTTCAGTATTGTTGGGATCTTTAGATCTGCAGCACAGTCCTCTATGACTTGCGTTAATAGAGTACAGTAACTCCTCACTTAAAGTCATCCCGGTTAACATTGTTTCGTTGTTACATTGCTGATCGTTAGAGAACGTGCTCATTTAAAGTTGCGCAATGCTCCCTTATAACGTTGTTCGGCAGCTGCCTGCTTTGTCCACTGCTTGCAGAAAGAGCAGCCCATTGGACTAGCCGGTGGGGGCTTGGAACCAGGGTGGACCGGCAGCCCCCCCCTATCAGCTCCCCGCTCCCCTAAGTTCCCTGTGCGGCAGCCGCCCAGCAGGCTATCAATTGCAGGCAGTTCAGTTGTCCCTCCACCCACTGCCCTGTGCTGCTCCTGTCCTCTGCCTTGGAGCTGCTCCGGGGAGCCTCCGGCTTGCTGTGCGGGGGGGGGGAAGAGGGAGGCTAATGTCAGGGTATCCCCCTCCCCCGTACTCCTGCCCCCCGCTTACCCCTTCTCCATATAGGGCAGAGTGGGGACATGACAGGGCTCAGGGGGAAAGAGCTTGCTGGCCGCAGCTGTCGTCTCAACTTCCTGATCTTTTTAAAGGCAATGTACTTAGAGTGGGGTCTTGTTCAACCAAGCTTCACAATCATCATTGCTGTGCACAGTATTAAATTGTTTAAAACGTATACTATGTGTATATATATAGTCTTTTGTCTGGTAAAAAAAAATTCCCTGGAACCTAACCCCACCATTTACATTAATTCTTATGAGGAAATTGGATTCGCTTAACATCGTTTAGCTTAAAGTCTCATTTTTCAGGAACATAACTACAACGTTAAGTGAGGAGTTACTGTAATTGGTAGCAGCAGAAAGCGGTTATCTTCTATGTGGACCTGCCACTCGAAGAGATAGACACCCTTTGCCAGTAGATTTTACAGCTATTTACTAGACAGTAAGGGAATTTTGAGACTCAGGAATAATGGGTTCAATTCCAGTTTCTGTAGGAGAGTGAGCTCTAATGGTTACAGATCCTTCTGAGCTGTCCCTGCCAGTCTCTCCCTGTTCCCTTCTGGTTCTATAGCCCTTCCTCCCCAGATCCTGCCTTCTTTCCTGCTCTTAGCTTGCCTGACTTGGCAAAGTTATAAGCAACTGAAAACAGGGTCTTATAATGCAAAGTTTTGTGCAACCTTTACTATAAGGAGAGGACCTATTATTATATGTATATATAAAAAAATCAAACAATTATTACCAATAAACTCATGCAGTCATCTTTTCCCATTTAAAGATAGGTGAAAGAGGTCTCAACCTCTCTGGAGGCCAGAAGCAAAGAATCAGCTTAGCTCGTGCTGTTTATGCCAATAGAGACATTTACTTGTTGGACGACCCCCTATCAGCAGTTGATGCACATGTTGGAAAATACATTTTTGAGAAATGCATAAAAGAGGCCCTTAAAGGAAAAACAGTAGTTCTTGTAACTCATCAACTACAGGTAATTAAAACAATTAATATTATTAATGCAATAATTATAAATGTGAAGTATATTTGAAGCATATATATGTATAAGTATACATGTAAAATAATATTAATATCACAAACAAAACAATGTAAGCGAAACTGTACCTAATAGAGGAGACAATTTCTTTCGATTTTTAGTATGTTGGAGATTGTATGGTAAGTGTTCTGTTGGGGAAATAGAACATAAAAGGAGAATGTGGGACAGCCTAATAATTAATGTTTAGGTCCGGGTGCTAAGTTCAGGCTCTAACACAGACTTCTTGAATGACGTTAGGCAGGTCTGCTATAAAGGTCATCAGTGAAATAGTTAAGTCATTTTAAATGTGATCCTTAGGTTGAGTGGTTAATATCTTACTGAGATGAATACGGCTTAGAGTTATTATTTTAGGTTGTCTGGACTCATGCAGACAACTCTGTACGGGTTTACATTCATTACATAATTTCAAGGTTTTCTTTGCAATCAAAAGGATTGGAAATATCTTTTTTTAAAATTAAAGCTTAGATTCTGAAGAAGGGAGTGCATTCCATGGCAAATTCTGCGGCCGTGGAATGGTGGAATACACAGGACACTGACTGTAGGAACCAATTAACTGGTGTTTAAATGTCTCTAAAATCTGGGGATACAGATGCTTTCATAGGTAATTAAGTAGTCTCTCACAGTTAGTTTCTTTTTTTGAAGGTTAAATAATTCAACTATTGCTATCAATAAGACAAAATTGCTGTTTATTTATAGTTTTGGCCTTCTCTCTTCAGGTTAAAATTATTATTTTAATTTTTAAATACGTGCAAGGCACTCAAGTACTATGATGATGGGAGTAGATATATAGATAGATGTTTCTTTTTTAGACTCCACCTCAGTTTCCATTTCTGGAGAACATTCTAGGAGCGAGGACAATTTAATCAACTGCCTCCAGTTCTTCATTTCACACTTGTTAGCACTGGAGATAGGGAGCCCTCTTTAATCACTTTATACAGAGATATACCTATCTCATAGAACTGGAAGGGACCCCAAAAGGACATCGAGTCCAGCCCTCCACCTTCACTAGCAGGACCAAGTACTGATTTTGCCCCAGATCTCTAAGTGGCCCCCTCAAGGATTAAACTCACAATGCTGGGTTTAACAGGCCAATGCTCAAATCACTGAGCTATCCCTCCCACCTAGTTTGAGCTACCTTATGGGAAAAATCATAATAGTAAAATATAGGATATTGGTAGTTAGTTTATTAGGAGCTCTAGTTTCCCACTGGAGATTAGCATGAGTAACTTAGAATAATGGAAAAAGCATTAAATAGCCTCTGCCTTTCATTTGACTGTTTGTTGCATTAAGTTAATAGCCATTGAAAACTAACCCCAATATCCTATATTTGGAACTTACACTTTCGTGGTATACATGAATATATTGTATCATACTATAGAATTAGAATTTATCATTCCTATTTCATGATGAGATATCATTGAGCTATAAAGTATGTATCTTTAGATAGGTTTCTTCCTCAAAAAGCATTTTATCAAAAAAATCCGATTTAAATTAAAAAAATCCAATTTTTTTTATTTTTTTGAAAATATCATTGATTTTTATCCACCCTGCTCCTGGGGGCCAATTCATTTGAAATTACACAATGTAGTGTCTACACTATCCCTATGTCAACACGTGGATGTCGAATCAAGGGAGGGGAGGGATAGCTCAGTGGTTTGAGCATTGGCCTGCTAAACCCAGGGTTGTGAGTTCAATCCTTGAGGGGGCCACTTGGGGATCTGGGGCAAAATCAGTACTTGGTCCTGCTAATGAAGGCAGGGGGCTGGACTCGATGACCTTTCAAGGTCCCTTCCAGTTCTAGGAGATGGGATATCTCCATTAAAAAAAAAAAAAAAAAAAAAGGAAAACAACAAAAAGGGAAGGAAAATAAGAAAAAAAAAAAAAACATAAAAAAAAAAAAGAAGGGAAAAAAACAAAAAAAAAAAAAAAAAAAAAAAGTGCTATGCCTCTCGTGGAGGTGGAGTACAGAAGTTGACTTTACAGACCACTTAGATCAGTGGAAGGGACTCAGTAGCACAGACACACACATTATTAGATCGACATAATGAGGCTTATGTTGACCTAAGTTTGTAGTGTAGACCAGGCCAAAGTCTCCGCTCCCGGGAGGAGAGGGCTGACTGCAAAGCTAATTCCTTTCGCAGCTTCAGTCACTCTGGCTCTGGGATAGAACTCTACCACCCAGGCTGCTTCCCTGGAGTCCTTTCAGACCCTACTTCAAAGCCTTCCACAGGAACCCAACTTGCTCCCTGTGATTACCCCCCCAACTGAGCTTTCTTAGTCCTGAGGCCCAGCTGTTTCATGCTATCACTTGACCCCAATTAATCTAGCTCCCTCAGGCTGGGAAGCAGCTAATTAATTACACCGCAAATGAGCTGACTGAACAGGGCTAAGGTGACCATACATCCCATTTTGGCAGGGGCAGTCCCTTTTTTAAGCCCTGTCCTGGCTGTTCCAACTTTTTTTGCAAAACTGTACATTTATTGCATTTGCTCTTGCCAACTGAGGAATGCGTGGGGAGGGGGGGGATGAGTGGGCAGCCCTGCACGAGAGGGAGGACTCAGGAGAGAGGCTTTGCGTGGGCAGGCGTCAGGGGGCCTTGGGCTAGCCCCACATGCTGTGGGTAGAGGGGGGCCTCAGGCCAAGTAGGGTAGAGGGGGGCACTGGCAGCAGGGGGGCTCGGGCAGAGGGCACGGGAGTTCAAGCCAGCTCTGCGTGTAGGCAGACGGTAGTGGGGCTTGGGCCAGCCCCACACATGGGAGAGAAAGGGAGGCCTCAGGCCGGCCCCATCAGCAGCAGGCAGGTAGGGGTGGGGCGGAGGGGGGGGGTCTCAGGTTGACCTAGTGTCCTGTTTTCCCTTTGGTCATCCTAAACAGGGCTGACTACCCGCAGGCCTTTTGGCCCTTAAGGGGCAGGCCACCCTGCTAGAGCCATGCACCCAAGCATACCCAATAACCTAGTGGTGGGCAACACAGGTGCAAGTCCCTGCTCTGTCTGATTCAGGCCAGAGACTTGAACCTGGATCTCCCATGTCCCCACTGAGAGCCCTTGCTAGTGGGTGTTCTGGGAACAGGCACAAAACTTCAAAAGCTCTTGGGTTTGTCCCAACGCAGAAAAGAATAAGCATTTGAAATCTTAAATTGTTTTTTGCAGGACAGGAAAAACTTTCCCCTCCAAGCTCTACCTCCAGGCTTACCAGACATACAGTACAAAGCCTTGTGTTTGAGCAGACATCTCTCTGCAGTCTAAAGTACTGTGCTTCAAGCCCCTCCTCCTTCCATTAACAAAGTAGGGAAATGTCTCCCTTTTGAAAGTCATAATTTTCAATAAATCTTAATTAAAGCACAGATGTCCTTGTTCAGCATTAGAGCCTTTATACTGGAATGCATTTCTCATAGCTTCCTAATGGCAAATATGTCTCAGGAGTTGTTTTTTTGTTTGATCTAATACACCCATTTCATTTTTCACTTTTTTTGTTGTTTTTGTTGCTAGTAATATAAAAGCAATGTACCAGCAGGTGGCACAGCAGCAACATTTTACACTGCCTTGAAGCAAAAGCTGGAGGAGAATGTCCTACACTAATGGAAGACATTAGCGTCGCATGTAGTAAATGCCAATATCTAAATTAATGCAACATTAAGGTTGGTCTGATAAAAGAAAAGAAAAAGTCAGGAAACGCAAAATGTGAGGTTCCTACAGCAATGTTAACTTGGCCACTCTGCCCAACCTGTATATTTGTGTTTAACATTTAACAACATAAATAGAAATGTAGAAAAACAAGAAGAGAAAAACCTACATATGTATACCTTAGCTGATTTGACATTGCTGTAGAAGCCTTTGCTTTGCTTGATTTTTTAAAAACTTTTTATTTTAGCAGGCATCCTTCATAATACATTAATATAGTTGGCCTCATTTATAGAATCATAGAAGATTAGGGTTAGAAGAGACCTCAGGAGGTCATCCAGTCCAACCCCCTGCTCAAAGCAGGACCAACACCAACTAAATCATCCCAGCCAGGGCTTTGTGAAGCTGGGCCTTAAAAACCTCTAAGGATGGAGATTCTACCATCTCCCTAGGTAACCCATTCCAGTGCTTCACCACCCTCCTACTGAAATAGTTTTTCCTAATATCCAACCTAGATCTCCCCCACCGCAACTTGAGACCATTGCTCCATGTTCTGTCATCTGCCACCACTGAGAACAGTCGAGCTCCATCCTCTTTGGAACCCTCCTTCAGGTAGCTGAAGGCTGCTATCAACTCCCCCACCCCTCACTCTTCTCTTCTGCAGACTAAACAAGCCCAGTTCCCTCAGCCTCTCCTCGTAAGTTATGTGCCCCAACCCCCAGATCATTTTCGTTGCCCTCCACTGGACTCTCTCCAATTTGTCCACATCCTTTCTGTAGTGGGGGGCCCAAAACTGGATGCAGTACTCCAGATGTGGCCTCACCAGTGCCGAATAGAGGGGAATAATCACTTCCCTTGATCTTCTGGCAGTGCTCCTACTAATGCAGCCCAATATGCCGTTAGCCTTCTTGGCAACAAGGGCACACTGCTGACTCACATCCAGCTTCTCATCCACTCTAATCCTCAGGTCCTTTTCTGCAGAACTGCTGCTTAACCAGTCGGTCCCCAGCCTGTAGTGGTGCATGGGATTCTTCCATCCTAAGTGCAGGACTCTGCACTTGTCCTTGTTGAACCTCATCAGATTTCCTTTGGCCCAATCCTCCAATTTGTCTCAGTCACACTGGACCCTATCCCTACCCTCCAGCGTATCTACCTCTCCCCCCAGCTTAGTGTCATCTGCAGACTTGCTGAGGGTGCAGTCCATCCCATCATCCTGATAATGAATAAAGATGTTGAACAAAACCGGCCCTAGGACCGACCCCTAGGGCACTCCGCATGATACCGGCTGCCAACTAGACATCGAGCCATTGATCACTACCCGTTGAGACCGACAATCCAGCCATCTTTCTATCCACCTTATAGTCCATTCATCCAATTCATACTTTGCCTTTTTCCAATCGTCCGGGACCTCCCCCGCTTGCCACAAGTTTTCAAAGATAATGGCCAATGGCTCTGCAATCACATCAGCCAATTCCCTCAGCACCCTTGGATGCATTAGATCTGGACACATGGATTTGTGCCTGTCCAGCTTTTTTAAATAGTCCTTAACCTGTTCTTTCACCACTGAGGGCTGCTCACCTCCTCCCCATACCGTGTTGCCCAGGACAACAGTGTGGGAGCTGACCTTGTCTGTGAAGACCGAGGCAAAAAAAGCATTGAGTGCTTCAGCTTTTTCCACATCATCTGTAACTAGGTTGCCTCCCCCATTCATTAAGGGTCCCACACTTTCCCTGACCTTTTTCTTGTTGCTAACATACCTGTAGAAACCCTTCTTGTTACCCTTCAAATCCCTTGCTAGCTGCAACTCCAGTTGTGTTTTGGCCTTCCTGATTACACCCCTGCATGCTCGAGCAATATTTTTATACTCCTTCCTAGTCATCTGTCCAAGTTTCCACTTCTTGTAAGCTTCCTTTTTGTGTTTAAGCTCAACAAAGATTTCACTGTTAAGCCAAGCTGGTCGCCTGCCATATTTGCTATTCTTTCTGGACATTGGGATGGTTTGTTCCTGTGTCCTCAATAAGGCTTCTTTAAAATACAGTCAGCTTTCCTGGACTTCTTTCCCACTCATATTAGCCTCCCAGGGGATCCTGTCCATCAGTTCCCTAAGAGAGTCAAAGTCTGCTTTTCTGAAGTCCAGGGTCTGTATTTTGCTACTCTCCTTTCTTCCTTTTGTGAGGATCCTGAACTCAACCTCTCATGGTGACTGCTGCCCAGGTTGCCACCCACTTCTACTTCCCCTACCAATTCTTCCCTGTTTGTAAGCAGCAGGTCAAGAGGAGAACGGCCCCTGGTTGGTTTCTCCAGTAGTTGCACCAGGAAGTTGTCCCCAACATGCTCCAAAAACTTCCTGGATTGTCTGTGCACTGGTGTATTACTCTCCCAGCAGATGTCAGGGTGATTGAAGTCCCCATTAGAACCAGGGCCTGTGTTCTTATCTTCCTAAATTATTTCCTAAAGAAAAAAACTCTGTGGGGATGGTGAAATGCACCAGTGCATACTTGCAGGAGACAGTGATATGAGTGCGCTTCAAGAACTGAACTCATACGTTGCACTTATTTGGAGCTGAGAAAAACTGCACTATTGCCTCCTTGAAATCAACTGGGGGTGGCTGGGGTAAGGACTTGCTTATACAATCTGGAATGCTCTCAAAGAGGGAAGTGGGGGAAGATTGTGCGCCAAAAAATTCTACATGGCTGTTCGGGTGCCACAGTGGCCTCTGTTGGGTGAAAGGCAGAACTGCAGCACTTCTTAGGCAGAATGTATTTTCTGCAGGAAAAAAAATTCTGCGCCGAACATCAATTCTGCGCGTACATAGTGGTGCAGAATTCTCCCAGGAGTAATAGTCACCTACTTCAAATTTCTCAGGTTCTTTAGGTCCCAGTACATTCTGGGGCACAAAACCCCAGAGCCCAGATCTGAACTGAATGTATAATGTGATGATCACATATTGACATGTCTTTTGGGGAGAGAGTAAGGGGCCTGCCAACTTGTCAAGAAGTACAGTTTGACAGAAAAGGCTGAGGAAAGGTGATTGTTGAAGTTAATTTTCTAAGAGACTCATGGGGCAAAACTAATCCCCAGCACCCAAGGAAGGGAAGAAGAATACTCTCATCAAGGCAATGAAATTACAGTGGAGCCAGAGCCACTCCATGAAGCCAGTAGGGTGAAGAGAACTTGCAGAGGCATGGTGCATCCCTCTGCAGTTTGAACATCCCCCCATGCCTCTAGTGCAGCAGCCACACTAGTTTTGCTGCTGTACCTGTACCAGTGAAGGCAGGATTTGCCCTTTATGTGCAGAACTGTGACACTAATAACTTGGGGAGATTTGGTTCAGATTTGTCAAAGACAGAATAAATAGAAATCCAATTAGTAAATTAAGTGCATCAGATCTGCCCTGGCCCCTGCTCTGCACTGCCATTCAGTTGGCCTAAAGAGGTTGGAAAGAAAACATAAGCAGTCAGCTTGGAAACCCTCTGCCAAGGAGAAATTCTTGGGTGAAGTACAGCCACCATAGCCAGTTGTTATGCTATCTCTCTTCAGGAACTTACAGAGGGGACATGTTGAGGTCATGCCAAGAAGGGTGTGTGACCAGAGTGCCACTGTGCTCTGACAATCTCCAATTGATATATCAGATCCTTGGAATCATAGCTAGCCCTTAGGCTCCACTAAACTACACAGGGTCCAGCACAGAACCAGCCCCAGGGTTATAGAAAGTGCCCTTTTCACAGTTCTTCCTCTCAGTGGCCCTCACCATTTATAAGCACAGCTAAGGAATGAATCCATTATGTTGGCTAAATTAAAGGGAAGAGCATCAAGTTCAGTGGAGCCCAAACAAGCTATTTTTGTAATTTAGGCTGAATTTTTGAAACAAAATTGATCGTATTGGAAAGCAGTTTTAAAATAATTCCTTTACACAATTAATTGTGGAGTACAGACAGAGGCATAGACACCTGCATGAATGTAGTAAATGAACATAGAATTGCTGATGTTTTCCCAACTGTGAAATGAAACCTGTTAATTACCATCATTCACTTTGAAGACACTACGCGCATGCATTTATTTCCAATGCAGTTACAATATTTATGGAATTAATGGTCCATTCTTAAAAATCTGTAGTATTTAGAATTCTGTGATGAAGTCATTTTATTAGAAGATGGAGAAATATATGAAAGGGGAACTCACAAAGATTTAATGAAAGAAAAAGGACGCTATGCTCAGCTAATTCAAAACCTCTATATGGAGCAAGCAAAGGTAACAGTTAGCCCTTACTCTTAAACATATTCTGCTTTTACATGCCTTAGAATATTGAAAATAGGGTTTCAGATCTCACAAGTAAATTTTTCTTATTTTACAGGACCCAGAAATTATTTTGACTGGATCAATAAAAGAACCAACGAGCAAAACTCAGGATAAGAGTGATTCCTCAGGAAGTTCTTATGGAGGAGTTGAAAATCCTGGTAATGTATTTTAGGACAATAATCAGAATTGCCTATACTCTGTTGTTTAAAAAAGACTAACTGTTCTTTCATACACATAGCTTTTGTTATGTCTGATGAAGAAATCATCATAAAGGAACCTGAAAGAGACCCACAAAGGGGAAATAACACAGGTATGCTACAAAGATTCACTTGTGCATCTTTCCAAATTGTTGCTTTAAAAAAATAAATTTAATTGTATATTAATATAGATTTCTGATTTGAAAGAGATTGCTGCATTCAAAATGTGCTGTATCCATCAACTAGTTTCTGTTCCTCAGATCCTCTTGCCTGCGCTGATTAGTTGCTCTTTTAGGGATGACATTGTCTTTTTGCTCTGTTTGTACAGCACAATGGGATGTTGGTGCATTACTGCAAAACAAATAATTATTCTAAAATAATAATAAAATTGCCTTTCCTGACCTGATGGGCAGAGAGGCAGATCAATCATCATTGCCGCCTCACTTTTTGGAACAGTTTTAGATTAATTTAATATTTGTGAAAAATGCCACACTGAGAATACTGTAAGCTGATGTCTTCCCTTTAGAACAAACAGGGCCGGCTCCAGACACCAGCGCAGCAAGCAGGTGCATGGGGCGGCCAACGGAACGGGGTGGCACGTCCGGCTCCTCGGCGGCAATTCGGCGGCGGGTCCCTCTGTCCCTCTCGGAGGGAAGGACCTCCTGCCGAATTGCCGCCGAAGGATGAAGTGGCGGCGGTAGAGCTCCCGCCGAAGTGCTGCCAATCGTGGCTTTTTTTTTTCCCGCCACTTGGGGCGGCAAAAACGCTGGAGCCGGCCCTGGGAACAAGCATAACACAGACACTTGCAGTGCAAGCACCCCCACATTTGCTCTGCCACTGTGCTTCCACTCTATTGTAGACCAACTGAGGCATTGCTGGAGAGGTAGTAAGTCTGAGTGGGGGGTTTTCTAATGAGACTCCCAGTAAGAGAGTCCTACCTCCACCTTCCATGTTGGTGGGGTGAAGCAACCTGAGAGACATTTTTTCAACGTGGTTGGAGGAATAGGAGCAACTTTGAAATTTATTAAATGTAACTTGTGGAAGAGTGGGGTTGTGGCTAAAAAAGTGCAGGGAGGAGAGAGAGAAGATAAGACACAGCCCATTTTGTTATCTGACCTGAAAGATGAAAATTTTTAAGCACTGACACTGTTCCTTCATTGGCATAGCTGACACTGTCACTTATAAGAACATCTCTCACAAATATGAAGAAGTTAAAATTACCTTGGCTAAACTGCCAGCCAGAGCCTTCAGTAGAACCAAAGGTCACAGTATTAATGCTGAACAGAAGTTTCTCATTTGTATCGCCCAAAGTGGCTGGAACTGTTATTTCAACTGCTCTTAAAATCCTTTCAAGGAAACATAATGGGGTTAGGACAAACAAAAGACACTTTCAAAGCTAAATCAAAATTACAGGGATGTTATAAAGGAGTGCTTCTCAAAGTCGGGCCTCTGCTTGTTCAGGGAAAGCCCCTTGTGGTCCGGGCCGGTTTGTTTATCTGCCGCGTCCGCAGGTTCGGCCGATCGCGGCTCCCACTGGCCGTGGTTTGCTGCTCCAGGCCAATGGGGGCTGCGGGAAGTGGCGCAGGCCGAGGGATGTGCTGGCCGCCCTTCCTGCAGCCCACATTGGCCTGGAGCGGCAAACCACGGCCAGTGGGAACCGCGATCGGCCGAACCTGCGGACGCAGCAGGTAAACAAACTGGCCCAGACCGCCAGGGGATTTCCCTCCACAAGCGGCGGACCGGCTTTGAGAAGCACTGTTGTAAAGGACTAATATAGACAGCAAATTACTTTTTAGCTAAAAAACCTCTCCCTTCACATCAAATTCTATACATTAGCAGTGTAGTGATATACACCGTTTTATAACTGTCTTAGGTGGAGCAGAAAAATTTGGTTTCTTATTCTGCTTTAGCATGCATATTGCTCTGTCAAGGATGAGGAAGAAGAACAGGAATGTCAATAGAGTTTTGCATTCAAACCTATGTGCTATCGATCATTTTTAGCAAATCCATATCATTTACATTTTAATTCTCATCATGATTTTCTAGTCATTCAAAAACCATTATAAAACTGGAGGGAGCATTTACCATATGGCAGCATCCAGAGGCTGTGGGGATTCTTTAAAAGAAGGAATACATTTCACTGAGTTTCTTATGAAGCTACAAATATGTATTTTTGAACATAGAGTCTTTTATTTTGGTTTAACACGCCCGGGATTCCTTGATATTGGGTCAAAATTTTGTTACACGAATGTATGCTTTTTGTTTGTGTGGTAGCTCCTGTAAACCAACTTGTTAGAAAAGAGGAAAAACAAGAAGGCTCAGTGACATGGAAAACCTATCACGCTTATATTAAGGCATCTGGAGGTACATTCTGCAAAAATGTCTTTATACTGAATTTGCTTTTTTTCCCTTTGATATTTCCATTTTTAAAGCTAGGATTCCTTTCCAATGTTTTTCCCTAAATCTAAACTCTAATATTTCAGTTTCAGATTGCCTCATTCTTGATCTCTGTTAAAGTTTCCTGCTTTAATTTTATTGAAATTAGACAAACACACAAAACAATGGTTGCATTTCTCAAGAAACAAAGCATTGTAATCTCCTGATATATTTATAACCTAGAATTGCAGATCACTGGGTTTTATAGAGAAATTGAGTAATAATTTAAGATATTCTGACATTTATTAGAAAGAAAATGTGAAACGTTCTAGTCAGAGTGGAGCCTGAAAAGCAAAATTTGGCTCTAGATTGGGATTTCAAGATTGAAGTTTGGAATAGTTCACATCTGGGTTTTGGTCCAGCTCATTAGATAGAGAAGTCAGCAGTGAAATTCAGGTCTGGATCGGGTTCAGATTTACACACCCCACAGATTTCCAGGGTGTTTGTGAGATTTTGCTTTAAGACAACTTCTAATCCTACAATTATATAGGAAAATTGTGTTTATGTAAATACGTATGCATATTTTTACCCTTAAGATTTTACCTCGCTGATATAAAACATACTGTCTGGGCCTATGGTTAGCCATGGGCACAATTACTGTGCCTGTAAAAGTGCACACACAACTATTTGACCACAAATCCCATATATGCATATGCAAACAAGCATTTATGTTCACAGATCACATAGTAACATACATAAATGAGAATGAGACCCACTTACCAGATTTTAAATATGAATTATTAATCCTTATAACCCCTTTTGGGTTCATAGCCAGGGAGCATTGCCCACTATTTCAATGCTGGTTCATTTAGTAAGAATCATGTGGTGTGTGTGTGCAGTGAGTACGCATAGGTTTTAATATGTACATCAAGTGTTTTCCCAAGCATTAATTTACTAACAGATTCTGAAAACCACACTCACAATCATTAACATTTTGTACAGTCAGACTGCTCACTTGAATAAGAGCTACTTAATATGAGCAAGGATTGCAGAATCTGGCCCTTAGCCACCATTCTGGAAAATACCAAAAACAATTAATATCAGTTCCCCTTCTCTGGGCTAATGGGTTAAATTCAGAAGCCCCTATTCAGTTTTTACCTTGATCTTTACTTCAGGATTTAACTCCTTGTCCCGACATTCTTGTAAATGGCAGTTCTGCGCCTATAGGAAGAGAAGAATAAATACAGATTAAACAATAAAGTCTTTGCTGAGAAGATACACAACAGAGTACATGAGTATAGTATGTTTAACCATTCTTACACCATCAGTTATTAGTCTAGTCTTTTGTTCCATTTGCAGGTTTCATACTGTCTTCCTTTGTTGTACTTCTCTTTATTTTGATGATTGGCTGCTCAACCTTCAGCAATTGGTGGTTAAGTTTCTGGCTAGAACAGGGCTCAGGGGTAAGTGTAACAATTTAATTGTAAATTTCTGCTCCTTAAAACAGAGTTGCACATATATTTGAAGTATTTAATATGAATAATAAAGCTCAACTCCAGCATCTGTAGCATTAAGACAGTTGCTGTACGGCTTCCTTCAAATCCTGCTTCAGATGAAATTCTTATTTCTCTTAATTTCTTTCCATCTCAATTGCAGTTCCTTTTAAAATGGTTTTCATAAATCCTTTCTCTCTAAACTTCAGAGGGCCACTCTCTCTTCCTCTGAACTTTGTTGAACTTGCTCTTGAAAGTGTCCAGTGTGTCATCATTTACACAGTGCTCGTTCAGATTCATATTGCTGAAACTATTTCTCTTTCTCTCTCTCTGAGCAAATAATGGTGTGATTGCCACTTTAGCTAGCATGGGTAACAACAGTAGTGAAGATGGGGCAGCACAAGCTTCAACATGGGCTAGCAACCCAAGTGTGTACACAGGGTTCCTGGTGGGCTTCTACTGGGATGGCTAGCCTGCACTGAACCCTGTGCCACCACATCTTCGCTATTGTTACCCAGGCTAGTTCGATTAGAGCTAGTACCAGTATGCCTATTGGCACTACAATCACCCCTTCATTTGCTGTGTGCACGCTCTCTAAGTAAATGGACCATATCACCCCTGCCACTTTCAGCAGCCTCCTGCACATTCCTATGCAACACTGCCCTCCTGGTTTGCAACACTGTCCCTGGACTCAATCCACAATGTCCCTTTAGACTCACATTTATCTAATCCCCTCCTATCCCACTCATTCCACCTCTACAATTTTGGGCTCCTCCAGAAGTTAATCTTTCTCTGATGCTGTTGTATGTCCTGTATCTAGGATTCTCTGACATCTCTCTCCAACCCACTGACTCACATACTCACCCTAAATTTCCCTTCAAAAACTTTTCCTTCCTCTTTGGCATAGAATGAACTCTCTGTAAAGAACTCTGAGATAATGCATATTAAGTATGCCATATAAAAATCAAATTGATTGTATTATATTATATACTCATTGAGGACATACTAGCTGGGAATTCAAAGCTGTGTATATGACTGATTTATTGCTTCACATTTTTTCACAATGAATATAAATAAGTGGACATGAATCATGTACTGATTTGTATTAGTTTGAGTGCTCTATTGTTGTACATGTTTTACTGGAACAAAATCAGACCTAAATTTCCCATTATCATTAGATAAAAATAATTTAGAGCTAAATTGTGCCTTCTCGCCAGCTGAAGGGCACCAGAGGCCCTGGATCGTAGAGGTACAATGCCTCCCTGGCAATCCAGTTGCATAGGATTGGGGAGAAGTAATTTGCAACATCCCTTTCTGGGGTCCAGCATCTTGCCCCCTTTGCCAGGCAGCTGACTACCAGAGCTGGCCAGTGCATCAGCCCAGTTTCAAAAGACTGTTGGGGAGAAATTTCTTCTTTCTACTTGTCTTTGCAGCTACGTAAGGCTTAGGCAAGTGTAAAAACTTGCCCCTATGTAGCATAAAAGGGGATTAACTAGCTGACAGTGACTCAACTTTAGGTGTTTGGGTTTTTTAATGACAGAAAAACCTAACAATAATGTAAATGAAAACAGCTTTTGTATAAGGTTCCAGTATGCTGTGTTTATAACCCCAAAACTATAACACAATAATAAATAATAATAATAATAACAATACCTAGCTTTTATAGAGCATGTTTCATCAGTAGATCTCAAAATGCTCTACAAAGGAAGTAAGCATCATTAGTAACTTTGTATTCATGCATCAGAACCATGAAGCATAATTTCCAGTAAAAAGGATCAATTTGTTTTCATTCTTCAAGCTAAAGGAAATGCAAAATATGAATATAATGAATGGAGAAAAGTAAAATTGGCTCTTAATAATTTAAGGTGTTATCATTAACAGGTTAAAAATTTGCTTTTTTTAAATAGGGATATCTCTGACAGTGTCCCTGAAAATATAAATAGATATTAATTTTTCCCCTCTTAAATTTACAATATTTAAGATACTTCAAAGGCAAGGAGCTAAAAGACTCCTGATATCTGCAGTTATTTTTTATAAACAAGGGTTAGGCTGACAAAATAAGGTAAAGGTAATTTTTTAAAGGTACAGTGGTGTTTTAAACTCTTGACTTTACTTTTCCTTATCTGATATACATTTCCACGGAAAAATAAGAATAATTGTCTTTCTGGTAACAGCTTTGTCAATACTACTTCTATTTCCATAGATGTACGTACTGGACGGGAAAAAATAAAGTCAGGGTTATAAACTATTGGCTCTTAACAACATGCCATTACCTTATTTTGAAGAGTTTAAGTAAGAACTCTGACTTCTAGATTTCAGTGGCTGGCTGCCTGCTGAAATATACAAGTATAGGTTTTAAAACCCAACTACAGCTTTCAGGAGGCAAAATTATTACATTTTATACAGCACCATAAATACACATGGTACTTAACAAATCATATTACTAGAGTAACAAGGCTGTGGGACCTAGAAACATCACAGGTGTCACTAAGCTCCACACAATAGTAATTTAAAATTTAATGATAACAACATAGAATGCAGATACTTCTCCAAAAGCACAAGACCCTACCACATGCACAGAGGAGACTCTCCTTTAACAGTTAGTTATAGGGTCCTATGAAATACAGTTGAGCAGTTCTGATTCCATTTAGTGGAGGTAAGTGACACACACATACATGATAACTAGAAAAGTCCAAAAGAATTTAATAGGGATAAAAATAAATTTCTATTCAAATTAGAATGGGAGGATAAGTTGTTAAAAGAAATGAGAGATGAGATGTAGGCAAAAGTGGAACTGTCTAATGAAAATGAATTGTATAAAACTTAAAAAAATACAATAAAAAAAGAGGAAGCTAGTGAAGGGGTATGTGTAACATAGCCAGAGAACTGTTGTTACAAAAATCTGTAGGATTTCAAACTGGAAAATCTTTTTCTTTGCAAAAAGTAATAATGTTGGGTGAGATTGAGTCATTATGGCTGCATGACATCAGTGGATATGCAGCATTGTGAGGATTTCACTGTGTAAGGGGGGGGGGGGAAGATTCAAGTGTGGTGTGAAGGTGACATAATAGCACTATGCCACCCCATCTCTGACTCAGGCATAGGGAAAGTGGTGTAGATGAGGGTATCCCTACACTTTAACTGTCCGATCTTCCTTTATCCCTATCCATTTATCATTTTATCAGTAAAAGCTTTCAAATTTAAATCACTGTATTTTACACATTTGCTTTAAAGACAAACTGCAGCCTCCTGAGTAATGAAACAGAATATCCCATTTGTGATATGGGAAGCATCTCGGATAACCCCAGACTGCACTTTTACCAGTTAGTCTATGGAATGAGCATGGTGACCATGATTGTCCTAAGTATCATCAAAGGGTTTGTTTTCACAAAGACAACGTTAAAGGCTTCTTCAATGTTACATGATGATGTATTTTATAAGGTATGGAAAATACATGGCTTTAACCATTATTATGGGATATTTACCATAATAAGCTTATAAAAGGATGGAGTATGGTTTAGTAGTTACTATTGATGCCTGGGGTCATTGGTTCTGTTGCCAGTTCAGCTGCTGCCTCATTGTGTGACCTTGAGCAGTGCACATGAACATTTTGTGCCTGTTTCTCTATTAAATTATAATGTCTGCCTTCTGAACACAGTTGCTGTAAACTTTAAATTAATGTTCACAAAGTGCTTAGAGCTTCTCAGATGAAAGACTCTATGTAAATGCAAACTATTACTTCTTGCAACTTGGACCTAAAATGATTGCTGTTGAGGGAAACTGCGACATCACCATGTGACAGCACTGTGCAATTGGACAGAAACACCATACAGATTTTCACCTTCCTCTGAAGCATCAGATATTGGTCTCTGCTGAAGGCATTTTACTAGACAAAAAAGGCAATGGGTAAAATGTTCAAAAGTGCCTAAAAGACAGAAATTCAAATCCAACTGAAAATCACTCCAGACACTGGAGTCTAAGGGCCAAAGGGTAACATTTTCAAAAGCACCTAAATCCAATTTTTAGAAGTGACGCCAGCTTTACAAAGGTATTTAGGTGTCTAAAGATGCAGATAGTTGCTTGGTGGGCTTTACAAAGGTGCCTAAGCATCTAGGCCATAGGCGCCGACTCCGTGGTTGCTCCAGGGCTGGAGCACACATGGAAAAAAAAATAGTGAGGCTCAGCACCCACTGGCAGGCCCTGTCAATCAGCTCCTCTCCCTCCCCTCCAGCGCCTCCTGCCTGCTGCTGATCAACTGTTCAACAGCAGGCAGGAGGCACTGGGGGGGGGAGGAGCGGAGGCAGGAAGAAGCATAGTGAGGGCAGGACACGCTCAGGGGAGGAACGGGGTGGGAAGAGCTGGGAGAGGAGCAGTGGCAGGAAGAGGAAGTGTGGGGATGGGCACTTGGCAGAAGGGGTGGAGTGGGGGCGGGGCCTGGGGCGGAGCGGAGGTCTAGCACTCCCGAGGAAATCAGAAAGTCGGCGCCTGCGATCTAGGCACCTAACCTGCTTTGGTGCTTTTGTAAAGTTTATTGACTCCTAAATCACCTAGGTGCTTTTGAAAATTTTACCTCATTCATCTAATCTGGTGTGACCTGTCCTTTGTTCCTATATTTTGTGAGGACTTGATTCAGCAAAGTACTTAAGTAAGTGCCCAACTCTAAGCATATGAATAGTTCTATCAAATTCAATGGAACTACTCACCCGCTATGAGAGGCAAGGTGAGTGATGTAATATTTTTATGGGACCATCTTCTGTTGGTGAAAGAGACAAGCTTTCGAGCTTACACAGAGCACTTCTGACCTGAAAAAGAGCTCTGTGTGGCTTGAAAGCTTGTCTCTCTCACCGACAGAAGTTAGTCCAATAAAAAATATTACCTCACCCACCTTCTCTATCTAATATACTGGGACCAACATGGCTACCACAACATTGCAAACACCTGCTTTGAGTCAGACACCTGTTTAAGCACCTTGATGAATCAGGGTCTATACAGTATATCTTATTGTAATGATTCCTTTTTAAGTGTACTGTAGATCCTCACCATTCAGATTCTCATGTGCATTTATTCTGTTATGATCATGACAACAGGAGATAAGCCCTTACTCTATTTTCAAAGGCTGCTTCACAAATATTATGTGATGTTGTGAAAGCTATAATACAGTTGTTTGCTGTTTCTCTTATTTACATTTTAGTCAAGATTATACTAGTATCTATTTTATCACACAAACTCTGAATACTGTAAAAAACAAAGACTGTCATTTGATTCTGCTGTTTCCCTTTATCCACAGATCTTACTGAGTCCAATGAGTTTCTTTGATACAACTCCCACTGGTAGGCTAATGAACCGTTTTTCTAAGGATATGGATGAATTGGATGTGAGACTTCCATTTCATGCAGAGAATTTTTTGCAGCAGTTTTTTATGGTGATCTCTATTCTAATCATAATAGCCATTGTGTTTCCGTTCCTCCTAATTGCAGTTGTTGTCCTAGCTACTATTTTTGTTATTCTCTTTCGGTAAGTTGATGTGCTAGTTCTTTAAGAACTATTTTAAGAATTTTTATTACCTTTGCGGTCTAGCCAATAGCAATTGTAGTTCTTATGTACATCTGTTGTTGAACTCCAGTTGCGAAATACTATAAATTCTTTTGTAAAGGTTTACTGGAGGGTGAGAACTACAGGAACCAGTATCTCATAGAGCAGGCACAGCCAGTGGAAACTGGGAAGCTATCAAATATTTACTGCCTTCTATACTAAGGGCTAAATTCAGTCTTTTGCTTGCACTGTTTTCTGCCAATATAGTCCAGAGCCCTTAGTCTGCCCAAAATGATGTTACAGAGACAGAAGTCATCCATAACCTTCCCTCAACCTATAGGTCTACAATCAGGACCAAGGCCACAGAAATAAGCCAGGCTAGCAGGGGAAGGCATAGCCAAGGTAACCTGGAATGCGTTGATTTAGCCCGTGCTATATAATCTCCAGCAGTGGAGACACTATGGAGACTGCAGCTTAAAGCCACAGCCTCACAGTGGAAGCACCAAGCCACAGTTCTGTTGTTCATATGGAGGATGGATGTTCAGTGGGATGCTGCTGCTTAGGCTCCTCTCCCCATACATGTTTTCTGGCCACATGTTGCGTGTATTTTTCTCACGTGCCTCTCGTCCCTTCTGTACTTGGAAGTAGAGGGGATGATATTACTCTTGCAGTTTTCAAAATCTACTGTCATACTTCAGTACTCATAATACATTATGATATACATGAAGGGCTAGATTATGCCTGGTCTCTCACTGGGGGGCAGAGAGGATACACGTAGCCAAGATTTTAAAAAGTGATTAGTGACTTTGAGTGCCCAATTTGAGACACATAGAAATGACCTGATTTTCATAAAGTACTAAGCATCCAGTCCCTTTAAGGTATCTCAAATTGGGCACCCAGTCCCTTCTGATTATCCAGTCCTTTTAAAGTATTTCAAACTGGGCCCTTAAAAATGGAGGCAGGAGGCACTCACAATTTCTACTCACTTTAAGTTTAGACAAGGAGCTTTCCTCCATTTGTACTTCAGTGCTAGGGTCAGACCCAGCAGCTATCCCTGGGCTTAGGGACTGCTCCCTCTTAGCCTTCAGGGGACACAAGGTACTCCAGGGGGGTGAGAGGAAGACGGTAAAGCCATGGCACTGACCAGCTAAACTAAGCTGACTGGGCACAGAGTGGAGCATAGTATGGTATGTGCACTCCTTCTGCATACTTAGGAGCTCCAGGTAAGGCTGTGAAATGCAATTCCTCTCTCTTTTCCCCCAGTGCAGGCCATTTGAGATTCCAGTTCAGACTACTGGCTTTAGCCATGAGATAGTGATGTATACCATTGGCTTACTGACATATAAACACCTGCAATATCATTTTGTTTTCATTTTGTTGCAGAATTTTTCAGAGAGCCATCAGAGAACTAAAAAGAATGGAAAACATTAGCAGATCTCCATGGTTTTCACACATTACTTCTTCTGTGCAAGGCCTCAGTGTAATTCATGCTTATAATAAAAAAGAAGACTATATCAACCAGTAAGCTGCATACATTACAATTATATCCTGTTTGTTTTGTTTGTCATTTTGATATGGACAGAGAGCACTGCATTGTTATTCTTTACTTGATTGTGGATACTGTGTCTTTGTACACGCAGTGACACTAGGAGGACCACATGCCCCAATTTTATAGGGACAGTCCCTATATTTGGGGCTTTTTCTTATATATGCATCTATTACCCCTGACCTCCTGTCCCGATTTTTCACACTTCCTATCTGGTCACTCTAAGTGACACTGATGAAACCATTCTGTTATTATAATGCAGAACAGCAATGATCCTGCAGCTTTTCATTTTTGTAAAATGATGCTCCTAGTTTGTACCATGGACTCTTAGAAGTCTCACAAACAGCACTATATGTCCTATCTCTCTGTGTCCACTTTTGAGCATTGTGCAATATTTTTACTTTCTGAGTTTTAAGCAATTTCTAGGATCTGAATTAAAAGCCAAGGGGCAATGAGTTCTCACTGGTGGGTTCTCAAAATTATCTAAACCCACACATACAGACCTTTAGGGTTTGATTTGTGATGTCTCGTGAATTGTACCATGTCAGATCTATTCTCCAGAACTGACTATGAACCCTGCTTAGTTTGCTTAATGGTTCAGATCCCATAGCTAGGTCCCTACCAAATTCACGGTCCATTTTGGTCAATTTCATGGTCAAAGGATTTTTAAAATTGTAAATTTCATGATCTCAGCTATTTATATTTGAAATTTCACAGTGTTGTAATTGTAGGGGCCCTGACCCAAAAAGGAGTTGTGGGGAGGTAACAAGGTTATTGTAGGGAGGGTTGCAGTACTGCTACCCTTACTTCTGTGCTGCTGCTGGCAGTGGCGCTGCCTTCAGAGCTGGGCAGCTGGAGAATGGCAGCTGCTGGCCGGGAGCCCAGCTCTGAAGGCCGCCAGCAGCAGCGCAGAAGTAAGGATGGCATGGTATCCTGCAGAGCTGGGCCTTTAGTCAGCAGCTGCCGCTCTCTGAGCTCTGAAGGCAGCAGTGCAGAAGTAAGGGTGGCATGGTATGGTATTGCCACTCTTACGTCTGCACTGCTGCTGGCGGGGCACTGCCTTCAGAGCTGGGCGCCCAGCCAACACCTGTCACTCCTTGGCTGCCCAGCTCTGAAGGCAGTGCTGAAGTAAGGGTGGCAATATCACAACCCCCCCTAAAATAACCCTGTGACCCCCCTGAAACTCCCCTTTGGGTCAGGACCCCCAATTTGAGAAACGCTAGTCTCCCCCTTGAAGTCTGTATAGTATAGGGTAAAAACACACAAAAGACCAGATTTCCCGGTCCATGATGCGTTTTCCATGGCCGTGAATTTAGTAGGCCCCTATCCATAGCTCCTGAAATTCCAAAGGGAAGCTCCCACTTTCCCTATGTGTCTAAATGCACAGGTTGTTAGAACACAGGTTAACTAATGCAACGTTTAACACAATGTAGCACTGATCATAGACAAGGACTGTTGTGTTTTACCTCATGTCATGTGGACTTTGAAGTTAACCATGACACTTCTCGTCTGCATTAAAGGTCTGATTCTCATTTATACTGATGGCTCTTTACACTGCATAAATTACACTTACACACACTTTAAGGCCCCTTTAGACTCCCAGAGCTCCTAAATCTGTACATAGTCTGGCCCTACCAGTATTTGTGGGTCTTGTCCAGATACAGTAGATCATTTCTGTTCCTGAGGATGGCATTTATGGAAGCCTCCCTTTAGAAAAATGTTGCAATATAAATCAATTCCTGAAAAATTCATACTAAGCTGTGGTATCTCCTGTTTTACTCAACTGTGTTTGCATAATATTTTAAGTAAGTAGAATAAAACATGCATGAAGGCTGTCATAAAAATACCTATGTCACCGACTCACTAGGAGGAATGGAACTTGTGTTTACGTGTTAAAACCTCTTTTAGATGATCAGAAATGTTCATCTATTTTCATTTCAGGTTTAAAATGCTAAATGATGAAAACTGCAGCCATTTTCTGCTGTTTAATTATGCACTACGCTGGTTTGCGATTAGAACGGATATCCTCATGACCTTGGTAACCTTCATTGTGGCATTATTTGTTGCTTTGAGCCCTTCTTTTATTAGTACTGCAGCAAAAGGCTTGGCTTTGTCCTATATTATTCAGGTAAAAATAAATGTTTGGTGTCTTGGATTAACCTCTGTTAATTATGTTAGTGCATATACATTTCCTATTCTACCCTCTCTTTATCCTAAAATACATGAAAGTATTATATTCACTTGAAGCCAGATTCTACCACCCTTACTCAGGCTGGGCAATACTTTACTCTGCAAATAGCGCATTGGATACTGAAATCAATGACTCAAGATATTACCCAGCGTGAAAAAGAATGGCAGAATCGAGAACACAGGGAGACAAAAAATAGTTCACATTTTAGAAAGAGCTGAGATTCAAGTTGTACACATAGCTAATTTATGTAAATACGTTATCTCATCCTCATTTCACTGCATCTTACCTTCTATTATTTAATAACTCATTTGTAATATCTTGTTTTAAGTTAGATTGCTAACATTTCAAGGTAGGGACTGTGTCTTTCTATGTGTCAGTACAGCACCTACCAGAGTGTGTATCTGATCCTGACTAGGGCCTTCATGTACTACTGCACAATATATAAGTAAATAATTCCAAACCATTTGTGTTTAGTATATGAATGTTAAATATCCCTTCATTTTATATAGAATTTACCATAGAAAATGATACCTAACTTATTGCAAAGCACAAAAAGGAATGGGAGTTGTTTATTTTTTTAAATGGCAAATGAAAATAAATTCTATTTTTTTCTTTAAAAATTACAATAAACCATCCCATTCTTACACACTTAGGGTAATGTTGTTTTTACTTTCATAACCTTTCTACTTTCAATAAAGTAATAGAAATATTTCCAGTCATAATGAACCTCTCAGAAGCAACAAGTAGTTTCTGCATTTTTACCTTAACTGTTGTCACCTTAGCCCACTACTTTTGTTCGTAACATTTAAAGCTCATACATCTATTAAAAGTTAGTGTGCAAAGATTGAATACATATGCCCAATGGCTTTTACTGCTGGATTAATGATGTGTTGCCAAAATATATTTTAAATGTTAAAAATAAATATGAAAAAATGTAGATTTAAAAAATATATATATTATTTATTCCTAAATGTGAGGTAGTTAAGATGTCATGGAAAATACAAATATATTTATAACACATTTAATTGACTACCGAATATCTCCTAACAGTGAGCATAAAGGCCAGAAAAATGCAGGACTCTCATGTCAAACTGTGAAAGATATTTTTCCAGTTGCTTCAGCTTGGCAAGCTCCATAGGCAGTTGTAATAGCTTTGAAATCACCTCGGGATCTATTATTGAGCTGTGCTGGTGATTAGCTTGTGTGCAGTTTCATTCTCCAAAACACTCTTTTACATTAATTATGCACTCTTCATTCATCACTAGAGCTACTGTAGACAGAAGTGAATAGAAGGTGACTTCCCACAATGCACTGGGCTAAATTCGAAAGGCTGTATGCTGTTACGTGATTCATATACACTTTTTCAAATGCCTGTTACATACAAGGCTAATTAGAGAGGGAGAAACTCCTGGCATACAGTTGTGTGTGTGAAGATTTTACACTTCTCAAAAGGAATGGAGAATTGGCACAGCTGTGGGCTAGATTATACCTAATAGCCTTGCATTGGCGTGGGCATGGAAGGACTATACCACAGCAAGACCCCCGCATGGAGTATTGGCTGAATAAACAAACATATTAGATACACGTTTGCGCACCTATCTTTTGAAGGTCAGACTGTAAGGGATTGATTTTCAAAGACACGAAGGGCAATTAGGCACTCAAATCAAACTGAAAATCAATGGGAATTGGGTGGCTAACTTTCCTTTGTGCTTTTGAAAGTCACACCCTAAATGATCACTATCATATGCATCACTTATTAGACAGAAAGAGATTTCCTGTGAAGCTCTGGACAATGGTCAGAAGAGTTCAGTAAGCTGATATAAATATTAATGAGTTTGTTATTGTTTTAGGCCCTTTTCTTGCAAAGATTTATGATACATGCTCAACTTTATGCATATGAATAGTTCCATTAAAGTTTTTATTTATTTTTTTAATAGTTGAGTGGACTTCTCCAAGTATGTGTAAGAACAGGGACTGAGACAGAAGCTAAATTCACTTCTGTTGAACAGATACAAGAATATATCTCGGTAAGAAATACATCTAAATGGGCCACTAAGACCACCGTGTGTATAAATATTGCTGAAATCTTTAACTGTTGACTTTGTGGCTCAATTAAATGTTTTCCTTTTTTTCCCTTTCTTGTAGACGTGTGTTCCTGAGGCCTCCCAGTGTGCAGATATAGTGAACTCTCCCAAAGGCTGGCCAGATCGAGGGGACATCACATTTAAAGATTACCAGATGAAATATAGAAACAACAGTCCTGTGGTTCTCAATGGCTTAAATATGAGCATTCATGGTGGAGAAACAATTGGTATTGTTGGAAGAACAGGCTCTGGTGCGATATACCATTTTGTCTTTTTGCCCCCTGATTTCTCTCTGGCCCCTCATACTAATTAATTACATATTTTTGATAGTTCACTGTTTTCTAGTCAGTTTATCTGTAAATTGTGACATTACATTAAAAGGGCTCAGTTCTGCCATTAAGGGAATGTCTACACCGCAATCTTAAGTCGACCTATGTTAAGTCGTGGTGGCTGATGTCCACACTATCCTCCTTTTGTCGGTGGTGCACATCCTTACCAGGAGCACTTCCACCGACTAAAGGGGGGCACTGTAGGGGGCTGAGGGCCAGGGTGCTCAGTTCCCCACGACTCCCCACTGGGAGCCCAGCTGCCCGCCGGGGCTTCTCGCCTCCAGCAGGAAGTTCCTGCCTGGAGTCCAGTCGGCTGCTGTGCTCCCTGCGGGGAGCCAGGACTCTGGGGGGAAGCCGAAGCCGGGAGTCTGGGTAGCAGCCAGCTTGGAGCGGAGACCTGGCAGAAGCCCAGCTGGGGAGTTGGGAGCTGGCTTTCTTGTCAATTTCAGGGCTCCCTCTGATGGATCCATATGATTCTGACATGGCCTCTGCAGTTCCATCTCTGAAGCCCAAGTTGGTTCCACTTTCTACTTCAAAGACCAGAGGTGTGGAGCTGAGTATTTTGCTGTATCTGGTACTCTGTAGATCTGTGGGGACAGCTATTTCCTCGCTGCTGTTCTGGGGTCATCCTCTAATCCAAAAAGATCTCTTACTGTGGTGGCTAAAGTGAATAATCCTGCATGTGAGCATTCCTCGGATCTAAGTGAGAGGTAGATGACTTGACAGTGCTCTGCTTCCTCTTCATCTGAAAAAGGAGACGAGCAGAGGAGATTGTTAGTCTTTCTCTGGATCCATTTGTGCCTTTTCCTCCTAGGACTCCAACAGGTTCCCAAGGCAGAACTTTCTCACCACTCCAATATTGTTCTGCCTCCTCTGGGCATCTTCCCACATCCCAGCTACTGGAGGGACTGGCAATCCTGGTTCCACCACAGGACTTTTTGAGTCATCCTCCTTATGGATGGAGAGGTGATGTTTCAGCAGATATGGATCCAAGTGCTGAGCAACCCTGGGATCAGGTTCCACCAGATCTATCTTCAGCTCAGATGGTTGTGCCTGACACGTTTTCTAAAGAGGAAGATAGAGATAGCTCCTCTTTTTGAACAAGAGCAGATAGATACAGACTTTGATGTGACTTGTCACCTGATTAGCAGGTAGGTGTTGCTTCTGCTTTGTCTCCTTCTGAGGATGCTTTGCAGTTTCATGACCTGGTGGACCACATGGCATCCACATTGAACTTACCTTCTGTGGCTGTGGAGGAAACCTTCCACCCAGTATTGGACATTCTTGGGGCTGCCTTCTGGAATAGGATGTGGTTGCGGATACTGGATGGTCTTCTGCAGCCTACTAGGACTGTTTGGGCAACCCCTGCTTCCAGTCAGTGTATTTCTGAAAAAGTAGATAATTGTATGAGATACCTCAAGACTTGGGGTTTTCTTACTGTCACACTCACCCTCTGCCTAATTCACTGTGGTGGCTGCTGCCAGTAATAAGTTTAGGTCCAGTTAGGCCCATTAGACTCTTGACAGAGAGGGGGAGAACGTTTTTTTTCTTCCTCGTCTCTTGGTATTAGAATGACTAATTACCAGGTGGTCATGGCATCTGAGTTTGTTCAGGCTTTGCCAGACAATAAGAGAAGGCTGGCAAATATTATTTTGATGAAGGGACAAAATGTGAAGCATGCTCTCAGGGCTTCAGCTGATGCTTCTCACTCTTCCACTAGAGCACTGGCATCTGTAGTTACCTTAAGGAGACCTTTTTGGCTTTGTTCCTCTTCACTGGCTGTGGATACCAAATTAAAATGGAAGATCTTCTTTTTGAGAGGGATGCAATAAGACTGATGAATTTTTGGAAAAATTAACAGATAGCAAATCCACTGCTTGTTCACTGGGTATCTATCCCTGGTTCAGAAAGAGACCACACTCCTTGTTTCCATTATCAGAGACAATTTTACCTCAGTCATTTGCTTATTTTTCTCAAATCACAGATGTCAGCATCAGTAAGCTTTGTTTTCATCTCAGAGCCAGTGCAAGAAGAAGGCTTTTAGATACACACCTAAGACAAAACAACCTGCTCCCTCCTCTTTACCTTCCTTGAACACCAGGCCTGACATTTGATGTGAGGATCGAGAGTCAGGAACCAATAAGTGACAATTCCTCCCTTCCTTTATTTGGAGACAGGCTAGTCATTTTCATAAACAATTGAAGGCTTATTACATCAGACAAGTGGGTTCTAGAAATCACCGAGGAGGGGTATGCCATATAAATAAAAAAACTACCCTCTTTCAAATCTCCCTAATCTTCCTTTTACAGAGAACTGTCTCATGAGGCTATTCTTCTATCACAAGTTCAAAAACTGCTTCTGCTAGGTGTTGTCAAAGAGATATCCAAACATCTTTGGTGTCCGGGTTTTATTCAAGATAGTTCCTGGTATAGGAAAAGATGAGGGATTCTCTTCAATTTTAGATCTCAGAAAACTGAACAAGTACATGTGGAAGTTCTGGTTTTTAATGTTTCAATCCAGCTAAGCCTTTGTTTTGTTATGGCCCGGCAACATTTCCAGTACAAGGTCCTGCTGTTTGGCCTTTCTACAGCACTACGAGTCTTTACAAAGTGGCTCTCTGTAGTAGCAGTGTATTTAAGAAAGCAGGGTGTGTTTGTTTACCTATATTTGGACAACTGGCTGCTGAAGTCTTCTTCATGTGAGGGCCTGCTACTTCATATCAACTCCACAGTCTCCCTACTCGTGGATCTAGGGCATTAAAAAGTATGTTCTGATGGCAGTTCCATTATTTACTATTTTTCATACAGACAAGATGGTTCTTAGAACTGACCCCAAGTTTCTGCAAAAATAGCATCTGAATTACCCATCAAACTATTAATTTGTTTTCCCTAATTTTTCCCCCTTAAGCCACATGCTAATGAAAGGGAATTGGAGTTACATACTTTAGATGCTAGAAGGATTCTGGCTTATTATTTAAATAGAACAAAGAGTTTTAGAACGTCATCTAGGTTATTTATCTCTTAAGCTAAGAATCATATGGGTAATAGTGTATCTATTCAGACTATTTCTAGATCAGTTAAACAATGTATAACTGAATGTTATAAGTTAGTGGCAGTTCCTGTGCCTGCTATTGTGAAGTGCCATTCTACTAGAGCAATGGTAACATCTCTTGCATGCCTTAAACATGTTCCTATTGGAGAAATCTACTAAGCTGCTACTTCGAGGTGAGTCTATTGTACTTTTACCAAAAAATATGCTTTGGATTTTGCTTCAAGAGCAGATGCCAGAGTTAGTAAGAGACATGCTTCAATCATTATTTGATTAGGACTCTGTTCCCTCTTCTTGAAATTTCAGCACTGTGTACCAAACTACTCATAACTATGAATATGCAGAGTCACTCAAAGAAGAAGTGAAGGTTGGCTACTTGTAACTGGAGTTCAAGACAACTCTGCATATTCACACCACAACTCGGGTACAAGTAAATAACCTTCCCCTCTTTCTCAGAGTCTTACCTTGGTTCTCTGGGTTAGTGGTGGAAAGAACAAGGTGGAAGGGGGCACACCACCACCTCATATAGATTACCCTTAGAACATTTGAGGATGCTGAGATGGCGGCACATGTGTACTCTATGGGCACTACTTGGAGAAGGTTCTATCATTAGGCACCACCAGGCGGCACATTACCCATAAATGGATATTTACAGAGTCTTCTGGAAGAACTCTGGTTACAAGTAAGTATCCTTCATTTATAATTAACATTATTGGCAAACTTCTTAACATATTCAGCAGAGAGCCCAAGAATGAATAAGCATGGAGAATGAACTTACCTCTCACCTTCGAAGTGATCAATTTGTATAAGTGTTGAGACACATTGAAGCGGTACAGACAACTACATTTTAGCAACTTGCACTGCTGCTAACTGTGCTATAACTGATCTGTGAGTAAAACAGAGTTCGGATCACACATATATCAAACCTGGAACTTTCCAGGTAGACTAAAATGCACTTTACATCATTGTTTATAAAAGTCAAAGTTTATCTGAATAATATTTTTTTTTATCCCCTACAGGAAAATCATCATTAGGAGTTGCACTCTTTCGACTAGTAGAACCAACTGCTGGTACTATCCTAATTGACGATGTTGATATCTGTACTATTAGTTTGGAAGATCTAAGAACAAAGCTTTCTATTATTCCTCAAGATCCTGTTCTGTTTGTAGGTACAGTAAGGTAGTTGTTCTTACAACTGTAAATTAACATTTGTTGCGAAGTGAAATCTCATTAAATCATAAATTGAGGCATTTTGGTTTGAGATTGAAGCCTTGAGATCCAAACCCCCTTATGCTATACATGCACATAGTAAGAAAAGCGTACAGTATAAACAGACAAAGGTGGGATAAATTAAGTATTAGCATCCCCTTTTACAGATGAGGAACTGGGACGCAGGGAGGCTCAGGGTATGTCTACACTGCAGTTGAGAGTGCGATTCCCACCACAAGCAGATATAGAGGCAGTAGCTCTGCTCTAGCTAGCATCTAAACACAGCGGTCTAGCCACAGCAGCATGGATGGTGACCCACGTCCTTACCCAGGAGGTGGGGGGAGACTGTACTCTGGCAGCTAGCCCAAGCTGCTGGGGCCACACTGGTATTCTTAGGTGCCATCTCAAGCAGAACTAGTGCATGTATGTCTACCCATGGAGGGAACTGCACCTCTCAGCTGCTGTGTAGACATATCCTAAGTGACTGGCCAAGGTTACACAGGAAGTCTATGACAGTCCTGAGAATTGAACCCAGACCACTTGTGTCCAAGTCCAGTAATTCTCTCAGAATCAAATTTTTGAAAACAGAATTTCATAAAATATACACAGAACATCTGAAATTCCCAGTTTACCAATATTGAAAATGGTTTGTGAATGGCAGGGAACTAACCTCTAAAAATCACTCATCTTCATTGGAGCAGAATTCATTATGTCTCAGATATATCAGCTTGAATGGCTCACCATGATCTCAAACTTAATGTGGGCAAAGCTGAGCTCATTATCCTTCATTCTAGACCCTCTCCACTACCTCCATTCCTCATTAAACTTGATGCCACCACTCTCCTTTGTCCCTATCCAATTTATCCAAAATGTTACTGCCAAAAGTCATCTCTCTGGCTGTCACTTCAACCACACCATCCTCTTATTTGCATTACTTTCCTGGCTTCCCACTGTGCTGTTCTTCATGCCCACCTTCTTGTATTTGCCTTCATAGCCCCATGTCAGACAGTGCTTGCCTACATCTTCAACCAGGTCTACACTACCCTTGCACCTTCGTCTCCATTCGGCCTTCATAACACCTTCATCTTCTTTTACAATGCCCTCCATGCAATCTTTCATGCTTCACTTTAGTGTTGGAATATGCTGCCCAAACTTGTTCAGCAACATTCCTTAAATTCCTTAATAAAAACCTCACTTGGGTGAGAAGAGAAGGCATTAGATCATATTAGCAGTAACACTGAAACCCTGAATATAGCTATTATATTTTTATAATAATATCAACATATTCTATGGAATAATCATGAATCCAGAAGTATCAATATCAACAGGACAAACTGATTTTTCCCTCAAACCAGCTAAGAGCTCAGAATACAGGAAAACAATGTATGAAAAATAATTGAAAACATGCATTATAAAAATTAAAGTACAGATATAAGTTCTTTGGCCATTCAGCCAAAATATTTCATGTTCAAAGTGACTTGTGACAGTAATTTACAAAGTATTGTTGTACTATATTGTGTTTTATTTAAAAAAAAAATGATTTTAATTTTTGCCTGTCAGGTACAACCTAGATCCTTTTGGTAACTTTACAGATGAGCAGATCTGGAAAGCTCTGGAAAGAACATTTATGAAAGAGACGGTAAATTTTTTGGGGTTTGGTCATAATTCATTTTCTGATAAAGATAATAAATGGAAAGTCATTATTTACTGTTTGTTATGGCATATAATTTATCATGATAGATTGGTGATAATAATAGTGAGGCATTAATATATAATCTCATTAGTTGTGAATAATGTCTACTTACCGCATTGCTTCCCTTTTTGATGTTATAATGGCAGAATGTTTATTTGAAATGTACAACACTCTTTTTAACGATCATGAAAATATAACATCCTGATAAATGTATGATCATGCACAATCAATATATATTATTGCATAATATGTATAGTCGTGTCTTTTTCTTTGTTTTCTAGATATTGAAACTCCCAGGAAAATTACAGGCAGAAGTTGTTGAAAATGGAGAAAACTTCTCAGTAGGGGAAAGACAGCTGCTTTGTATGGCCAGAGCACTCCTTCGAAATTCAAAAGTAAGTAATGGGGGAGAGTCTGATACTTCTAGCAGTGGTCCCGAATGCATGAGAGTTGCAATATTTTTTTCCCCATCTAACAGAGGAAAGAAACCAACATGTTTGTTCTCAGTTTTATGACTAGCTTATGAGTAAAGTCAACTTAATTGAAATATATTTTTCAGCATTTCTTATCTGCTATATTTGATCCAAATCTCTTCCACTTTTTAGATTCCTCATAAATCAACCTATGTCTTGTCATATTAAACACTAAACATCTACTGCAGCTAATGATTGAACACCCATATTCTTTATTTTCCAACAATATATACATCTCACACTAACAATGTCTCCTGCTCACTTTAATTGCTGCTTTTGGCAATTTGAAGTCACAAAGTTCTGTTGTCCTACTAGTTAATAGCACTATGAGGACAAGAAGCCTGTGGTCATTTTTGAATCTATAAAATCATGGAGCCTGATCGTCAGCTGGTATAAATCCACTGACCTCAGTGAAGCTATGCTGATTTACACCAGCTGAGGCTATGCTGATTTACACCAGCATATTTGAGCAAATATGCTTTGCTCAAATATGGCAAAGCATATTTGAGATTTGCCTATTGCTCAGCTATGCTTTTTCAAGTGAAAATGAAATTTAAACTTCAAAAGAGGGCTCTGTCTGCAGGGATTCTCTCTCCCCGGAGGAGCACATCCCTACAAATAATTTTTATGCTCAAATATACATATCCAAACTTATTCGGAATGAAGGTTTAAAACCTGTAAGAGAGACCATGAGAACTGGTTCCTGAGAGGAACTAATCCATAATGGGACTTCCCAGCATTCTCAGGAAACTAAATAACCTTGTAGCCTGGTCCATCAGGCTACTCTTCAAGTGTTGACACTGTATAATCTATAAGGCAATAGAGCAGTAACAAACAAGTTCCTACATCTGTCTGTAAAAGCATAAAAGCTTCTGTTTGGCTTTAACTTGCATATTTGAGCATAAACATGACAATAGGGACCTACTGCCAATTTTCAGCAAGGGCCCAATCCAGTTTCTACTCAGTGGAAAGACAATGAATATCAATGAGGATTGGATCAGTAAATCCTTATTAATGTATAAGCCTCAAGATCTTGAGTACCTTTCATTTTAATAAAGCCATGCACATATTGTCACTTGGCACTGATCTATACAAATATCTGGACCCATTTTTAATATTACAAGATATGTGGTGTTAGTTTATAATAGGTTTCTCATTCCTCCACAATCGCCGAAACCATCAGAAAAAAAGTTCCAAGGATCCACTGTTTCTCTCCCCACCTCCCCCAATAAAAGTTTCAAAATATTTTTAAAATTATGAATTTCCAGCTCTGGCAAACCCTTTCAAGCCTGCAACTGTATCAGGATGGTCTCAAACATGGATTCTGTGTTTTAATGTAGTGGGCCCCATTTCCAAAGGGCTTCAACCTCCTTTTGAAACCCACATTTGCAATTCTGAAGGCGCAAACTGTGCAATTCAAGCAACTAGATAGGAGCAAGATTCTATCTTAATCTAGCCTCACTGAAATAAAATGAGACTATTCATGGAGTAAGGTACTATTCAATGTAAGTAAGGATCACAGGACCCACCACACCAGGATCATGTTGTTTGCATACATAGCCATTTAAGAAATTATATCCATATACATTATCTCTTAAAGTTAAGTCAGAACCTCCCCCCCAAAAGATAGGTACTTACTAGATGATACATATAAAACTGCTGTTGTGTTCCACTTACAAGACTGCCTCTTTTCTGCCTCCTAGAGTCCTCTTTGCAAGTGTCCTATCTTTTCTCTCCTGTAATTCAAGTTTAAATTTTCCTCAACACTTCATACAATAGGGGCCATAATTTGCTCTTCTAGGACTCAATCTTCCTCCATTTGGAGTCACCCAGAGAGTTTTGCCAATGGCGTCAATGAGAGAAGGATTTAGGACCTAAATCTTTCCTGAAAAACAAACACAACTGGCCCCTGTGACATACCAGGGTAAATCCAGACCAATGAGGAGCTTTGTCACCTCTGTCCTGCCACCTGGGAGGAGGGGGGTTACAATGCCTTGCTGAAGTAGCTCACACCTGGGTCACTCACAAACAGCCTTCCAGCATGCAAACCACCCCGTGTGTCTGTATGTAACTGCAGCCTGCCAGCCACACTTGGATTACACTCCAGCTCTTACCAGCCTTGGCTGTACTTCAGGGTGACCCGCAACACTCCCCTAGTCCCAGATTTTCCCCAGAAATGTATGTCCTGTACTGCCCAGACCTCTCCTAGACAGTACAAAATATTTTAAGTCCATTATTCCTTTAAGAGAATAATATGCACACAACTTGTCACCCCAAATGGAGTTATCCAGACACTTCAACTTTAATACATTAGATTAGATAAACCAAGTTTATTAACTGCAATGAGAGAGATTTTAAGTGAGTCCAAAAAATGAGGCATAAAAGTCAGAAATGGTTACAAGAAGAATAAAGATAAGACATTTACAAATACCTAATTTAACAAACTATATCAGATTCAAGCAAAGTTTCTCACCACATGCTTTCAGCAGTCTTACTGACGAAACTGTATGTCAGGACCCTTTCCCCATAGTCCAACAAATGCTTCCTTTGTCACTTCAGGTGCAATGAATGTGATGGGCAGGGAGAGAGAGAGGGGTGCCTTGGGGTTTTTGTCCCTCCTTTTATGGTTTCAGTCCCCCTCTTGAAAAATATTTCTAGCTGGGCACTAGAAGACAAAGAGTCTATGTTGGAGGGTGTTCCCTGATGTTTTTCCCCCTCACCTGTTTGAGCTTTCTGT